TTATTAAAATAAAGTCATGCTCTCTTTCCAACTGTCTTAGTTTTAGGTATGTTGGTAAACCTTCGGACATTGGAAGGGGGGAATGTGGAAGTGTTTTACAGTTAGTGTGAAAACTGAAATGAGGTTTGTTGTTAATAAGCTGTTAAATTGCAGATCATATTTCTTGAGAGAGCCGCCCTAACTTGGCTCTTTGATGGATGGACTGACATGTAGCGTAGCCCGTTAGCGAGCGAGCCACGGATTCCTGAAATGCGTCGTTCCTTCAGGACCTGCTTGTCATCCCAGTCTGAGCAGGATAACGTTTCTCGGCTTATCGCCCAGCCTGGAGGGGATCGTGTGAAGGGTCAGTGTTCAGCAGAACGGATCCGGTGTCGGCTTATCGGCTGCGGCTGCCTGAGATGACAGAAAGAGTAGAAGAAGAAAAACAACCTTTGTTTTCATTCGGCCCCCTTCGCCTGGTCTTGTGCCGATCTGCAGACCGTTGCTGATTTGGCCGTCAAAACTCGCTTTGCGCTTTCATTATGTCTAATACTTGATATCTGATGAAAGTAAAAACCCTGTAAATGTGTTGATCTGTGATTATTTGGTCATGTTTTAATAAAGTTACCCACTGATTACATGAAGTTTCTCTAGAAGAGAGCGTTAAATAGATCATTAATGTTTCCTGTGTTAGCTAAAATAAGTTCAACATCCTGCAGCAGCGATTTAATCTTGATGTCATTACATCCACATCCAGACCACTAATGGGTATTAAATAATCTGATTTATTAAAATGTGTCTGGAACGGACACCAGGGGGAGTAAATGCAACACAAAAGGCCCGACCTGTTAGTTGTTTTCATTCTGAATTCATTTTTTCTTTTTATTCTGAATTTTATTTGGATTATGTCCCAATTTTACCCTGATTTTATACTGACTTTGTCCTGATTTTAATCACATTTATTGTTATTTTTCTCCCATTTTAAAAAAAAATAATTTTCATCAGATTTTCCTTACGATTTCATTCAGCTAAAATTAGCTACAAGGATTACTTTTTGTTTTGTTCTCTTTGTTTTATTGTAATTTTTATTTATTTGTTTATTTTCATCAGATGTTTGAATTTCGGATTGAACCCTGATTTATTAATTAATTTATTTATTTACTTATTTACTTTCATCCTTTCTTTTGTCCTGACTTTCTCCTGATGTCGTCATGTTTTGGTTTTTTATCCACTCCTCGCTTTTATTCTGGTATTTTTGTAATTGTTGTTAGATATATAAATATAAATACTATTTTCTGTTTTCCTGTCCTGCTTTCATCAGTTCTTTTCATGGAAGGTTTTAGACATTTCATCTCAATTTTATATTCTGGTTTCATCACATTGTTATGCTAATTATTCTTAGTCTGATTTTTGTCTCGTTTATAACAACTTTTTCTGCATGTTTTAAACTGAACATAATCTGATCAATTTGGATTATCTGATCAATTTGGATAATCTGATTAATTTGGATAATCTGATTAATTTGGATTATCTGATTAATTTGGATTATCTGATTAATTTGGATTATCTGATTCATTTGGATTATGTGATTAATTTGGATAATGTGATTAATTTGGATAATCTGATTAATTTGGATTATGTGATTAATTTGGATAATCTGATTAATTTGGATAATCTGATTAATTTGGATTATCTGATTAATTTGGATAATCTGATTAATTTGGATTATCTGATTAATTTGGATTATCTGATTAATTTGGATTATGTGATTAATTTGGATTATCTGATTAATTTGGATAATCTGATTAATTTGGATTATCTGATTAATTTGGATTATGTGATTAATTTGGATTATCTGATTAATTTGGATTATCTGATTAATTTGGATTATGTGATTAATTTGGATTATCTGATTAATTTGGATTATCTGATTAATTTGGATTATCTGATTAATTTGGATAATCTGATTAATTTGGATTATCTGATTAATTTGGATTATCTGATTAATTTGGATTATCTGATTAATTTGGATAATCTGATTAATTTGGATTATCTGATTAATTTGGATTATCTGATTAATTTGGATTATCTGATTAATTTGGATAATCTGATTAATTTGGATAATCTGATTAATTTGGATTATGTGATTAATTTGGATAATCTGATTAATTTGGATAATCTGATTAATTTGGATTATCTGATTAATTTGGATTATCTGATTAATTTGGATTATCTGATTAATTTGGATTATCTGATTAATTTGGATAATCTGATTCATTTGGATTATCTGATTAATTTGGATTATCTGATTAATTTGGATAATCTGATTAATTTGGATTATCTGATTAATTTGGATTATCTGATTAATTTGGATTATCTGATTAATTTGGATTATCTGATTCATTTGGATTATGTGATTAATTTGGATAATCTGATTCATTTGGATTATGTGATTAATTTGGATAATCTGATTAATTTGGATTATGTGATTAATTTGGATTATCTGATTAATTTGGATTATCTGATTAATTTGGATAATCTGATTAATTTGGATAATCTGATTCATTTGGATTATGTGATTAATTTGGATAATCTGATTAATTTGGATTATGTGATTAATTTGGATAATCTGATTAATTTGGATAATCTGATTCATTTGGATTATGTGATTAATTTGGATAATCTGATTAATTTGGATTATCTGATTAATTTGGATAATCTGATTAATTTGGATTATCTGATTAATTTGGATTATCTGATTAATTTGGATAATCTGATTAATTTGGATAATCTGATTCATTTGGATTTTGTGATTAATTTGGATTATGTGATTAATTTGGATTATCTGATTAATTTGGATAATCTGATTAATTTGGATTATGTGATTAATTTGGATTATGTGATTAATTTGGATTATGTGATTAATTTGGATAATCTGATTAATTTGGATTATGTGATTAATTTGGATTATGTGATTAATTTGGATAATCTGATTAATTTGGATTATCTATCAACAGATTCTGTGGTGGAGGAGAAGAGATGGTAACCATGGTAACGTTTACATATGAACTGGCAACAATGTTTCTCTTTACTTTACAGCAACCAATCAGATTTAAACAAAACATTTTAAAAAAACAGCCTCCTTAAGGTGAGATGCTTGAAAATAATATTCAAGAAAAGTTTTGTTAAGTTTGACTAATGGAAACATTTAAACACTTCATAAGCGTAAAAATTACTGTTTCTAAATGACACTTATTTGTCTTTTTCCATATTAGCTTGTAACCTTGCATTTGTTTTGGTAAAAAAGTTGTATTTGCTAAAAAATACAACTAAAATGTGGTTTTTTTCAAACAGTAGTTTGAGTTGTCTTTGGTTTTCTTCTTCTGTGCATCTTTAACTGAGCTGCGATTTCTGGTGGCCAGACGTTTCAGCGTTTCGATGCGGGTGTCGGGTTTGCAGCACCAAGCGAACATACGTCGGGTGTGGTGACGGGTGTTAGTTTTGGACACCGCAGAATCTGCTGTTTGCTTTAAAACCCAGAAAGTGGTTTTGAGTCATTGGACCGCAGACCGAACTCGTTCACACTGAGAAATGACAGAACTTTAGCATCTCATTCACCCACAGCTCCAAAGCAATTAAGCAGTTAAACTATAAATGAAGCTGAAAACGATTTGAGTGGATCTTAAGAAAACACACCCTTTCTTTTTGTGGTCTGTTGGCGACCGCACAGACTTGGAAAGCAACTCCCTGCAGGTTGCAGCCGATGTTGTCAACTGTTTGTTTTTACGGGCTGCAGTTGGTGGCAGCAAGAGGGTCGTTGGTTCAGATCCCGGTGTTGTGGAAAGCACTAAGTCAGGATTTGTTGAAGAATCTTGTAGGGTGAGTAGGGTATTAAACATGTCTTCAATACCTAAAACAGAAGGAATGCAAAGTATTTTTTAAATTCTGTGAGAACTTGCTTTTTGGGAAGTTACTGTAGGAAAAGTCATTGTGAGAAAAGACTTAATCTGCAAGTGTGTAAGCTGCAGAAACCAGCTGACCCTCAAAGAACCAAGTCCGTAAGCATAATATGGACTTGTTGGACAGTCCCATCAGACCAGTCCAGTTCGCTTTAATCAAACTCTAGCTTGTTTGCCTAGAAAATCCATATGAATCCATAATTGTACCAAAAAACTCCAAAACTCCATCTACAAACCTCGGTCTCAGTTCCCAGTTGGGGGGAACTCTGGTGCCGTTCAAATGCATGTGTGAATCAGTCTACAGAGAAATCCTACAACTGCTGAAATCTGATGCTTCTGCATCTCATGATGAAAGAAGCTGCGCTCTGTGTCTTCTTCTGAGATTTTTGTGTTGTTTTCTTCGATGGTTCTTGGTGCAGCGCCCCTACAGGCGAGGATGGGATCAGGTTTTCCAAACGGTTTGGTTCATTTGACTCGGTGTGAAAGAGAACCACACCAGATGAAAATGTAACAAACGTTGCAAATTTGGTCCCCAAATGAACCAAATCTCCCGGATATTGTTATAACATAAACCATAAGTTCAGACTGTCATAAGACTTTATAAAGTTTTTTTCCTTACACCAGACTGTGGTTTGGTTGGTGACCCGTCTGGGACAAGCGAGTGTTGATGACAATGGATGGATGGCCGGATGTTTCTTTATTAGAAATAAATGACTTGTGTTGCTTTTGTATTGATCCAAGTCCAAATCCCTGTGTGACTTGGATCAGATCAGACCAGAAATATGCAGCAATGTTTGCTTTAATCTCAAAGAAACAGTAAGGCAGCTGGACACAATAATGATAATAATAATTGGGTGCATATTGTTCCTTGTGTATTTTAGGTCTTTCTCTTTATTGGATGTGTTGGAAAATCACTAAGTCAACATTTCATCGTTGTTTGTTATGTTCCAGACAATAAATTCACATCTGGTGAGATTCAAACATGCAATTAATGATGGATTGTAGACTGAACCAAATCACTCTCACGGTAAAACGGGACCTAATTCTTTTGCTTCTCCACAGAATGAATCTCAGCGACAAGAGTTGTCTCGTGGCGATGGGACGATACCTTCCAGGCCGAACCGAAAGGGCTCAGTGGGACGTGGAGACGTTTTCGTGGTTGATGAGGACACTGACTTGCTAGATCCCATCTTTCAAAGCGGTGGAGTCGTGAACCCTCAGTGGAAACCTTCTAGAAAAGGACTGAAGGGAAGCCAGAAGGGCAAACCGGACGCGCCGTCTAAAAAAGTGGAGGAGAACATTACAACAGAGAAAAAGACAGACTCTAGGACTTCAGTGGTGTTTCCTCTAAAACCCTCGGATAATATAATCGACTTGGATGTCGGAGGTTCCCCAAAGAAGCCCCCGCTGGGAATTCCTCTGCTTCCCAAGACTCCTAGAGTTTCAACTGAATCAAATGAACTAATAGAGGAGATCAGCTCTGTTTCACCTGCAACGAGTCAGGCCCCGATCACTGTCCAGACCACCAAGTCACCGGTGCATCATAAAAAGCATGAAGGGAAAGAAGCAGAACCAGAGAGAGGAAGCCCTCAGATTGTGACCATTGTGCCCAGAGAAGGAGATCTGGTCCTGCGATCTGACGGGAAAACGTACAGGCTCCGGAGAGGACGACCCGGCAGGATGGGAGCCCCCGGACCAGATGTAAGTCTGACTTTATCCTCTTTAAAGGAGGCTAATAAAGCAAAGTTTACATTTCGCACAACTTTGTGCTTCCATTTGAGTTTCTACTGCTTCTAAAAACAACCTGGTCATTTTCTGGCAATAAGTTCATGTTTCTGGTGTCTGGAAAATGAACCTTTTCAAAAACTTCGGAATGTAACGTCACAGATCAGCAGGAACTGAACCTTCACCTAGCAACCGTTACCTAGCAACCCCAGCAGAGTTCCACCATGTTTGGTCAGCTGGTTTTACTGCTGCATGCGCTGCACAATGGCTGCTGGAAAACAATAACGTGTTTTATTGTTGACTTACCGTCCAGAAACCACTTGCTGCATTCTTGTTGGCTCTATTTTTTTATTTAAAAAAAATTACAGAATATAACAGCGCATAAGTGCATACAAGTGTTTTATTGTTGACTTACCGTCCAGAAACCACTTGCTGCATTCTTGTTTTTTGTGGATGAGGCTCCACTTCTGCTTTTCAAAGATGCACCTTTGTGTAATTGTGTTCTGCTTGCAGCTGTTTTCACCTGGGAACGTTGAGTTAGGGGGCGTGGCCAGCAGCAGTTTATTTAGATTTAGACAAGACAGCTAAAATCTCATCATGTAAGAATGACTGTGCAGAAATTGTAATGAACATGTTCTGTATCGCCCATAAACCTATCCTAACTTGTTCAAAGAACCATAATCATTCACCTTGTAACAATTACAGGAAAGCCACCGCAAAGAGAAGTGTTGCTCGGCTCACTCCGGATGAGAAATGTTTCCTGGCATCGCTTTTCCCAAGGTCATAAATGAGACCAAGACCCCCCAGACATGGAAGTGATTTTCCCGTTTGCATGCATTATATCAGAGAGGAGCTGAAAGTGGGGAAAGATGAGCTCTGAGAGATAAATGGTTCTGGTCTCACAGCTTTCTGAGCTGCTCTTCGTCAGCCGCCATCTGAAACCCATCAGCGACGGTTCTCATCGCTCAGACGTGTCGATCCACATGCCTTTGATGCCGCCATGCGAGAACATGGAGCGGCCTCATTGGTTTTTAGGACGTTACCAATCTGACACTGTTAACCTTTCACTTCTGATTGGTCTGAAGGACTGAAGCTGATTGCTGTTGATTGGGTTTCCTGGTGTAGGAAACGAGTGACTGCAGGGCAGATGGAGCCAAATGCAGACTGCCTGCTTGGCAACGTACATCTGGAGTCATGTTGCCATAAAATCCACAAGCCCACTCAGCATAATTACTGTGATTGGAGCCGGCTGGAGAGAGGAGGTTATTGGTTTCACTCTTCTCATGTACGACGTTAGATCTTCTGTCAGTAATAGGATTGGACTGATGACTGGATGAAAACACATTTCCAAGAAGATGCATGGGATATTTGACATTTTGCTTGGTTATGATGTTTCATTTATTCAGATACTTGAAGTTTTAGACATTTAAATCACACCATTACAAATATATTTCATCTGTTGCACTAATGCTAGCTTGTAGCCTGTGAAGATTCGGCTTCAGTTTCTCATTTCTTTTTATTATTTCTTTCTTTTTATTATAGCCCATAGCTGGGCTGCTGTAAACATTTTTGTTTATATCTTTGCTTAAGAAAAAATACAACTTTCTGTGCTGCTACATATATAAATTCAGTTTTTACTTGCTAGCTGGGCTAATACGGTTTGAGAGAGGAGCTGTAGCTTCCATTGTTTTCTTCTAACTGGAATATTTTTACTACATTTGATAGCTGACATTACTTTCAGTAAACTGGTGAAATAAATAAGCTTTTTATGATGAGGATAGAGTTCATTAATGATTATTTACAGATGGAACTGAAGTTTTTTCTCCTATTTAGTGAAAAGAGCTCCAGCTTCAGAAACATCAGTAATTAAGACTATGAAGCTCTCAATCTAATAGTTGTTATGCTTAAATGGTTGCTACATTTTTATAGCTTTAGCTACTATTTTTCTAATTTACTAGCAGCTAGCTGTAGTGGAGTGCTAATGGTAGCGTATATGTAAACAGGAGCAATGAGTGTCATTAGCTTTTAGGTATTATTTTACATTTTTGATTAATTTTATTGTCTTTGTGATGCTGTCTTCATAGGGATGCCTGGGTGATCCTGGTCCTCCTGGGGTCAAAGGTGAAAAGGTAAGTGAAGCTTTGAGTTTAGCTGTGCTCCCATGCTAACACTAGCTTGTAGCATTAGCATGCTAGCTTAAAGTTAGCGTGCTTGTCATCCAAACCAAAAACAAAGAAAAACTTTCTGACTTTTAAGTTCTTCTTTTTTTAATACCCTTAAAACATAAATATTGCTAATATGTTTCATCATTAGCATTTTGAGAGTCATGTTTTTTTGCATTTATGCTGTTATTGAAAGACATTTTTGTGTTGTTAAATATAAATCAGAAGCTAAATATTGTTTAAAATTTCAATGTTTTCAGGGTAAAAGAGGCATTAAAGGCAGAGCTGGTAGAACGGGCCAGCCGGGGTCGCCGGGACGTCCGGGTTTACCGACATTTTATCTGTGGAGGAACACAGCTGAGGAATGGGCTGCGTTTCAGGTACGGTCAGTGTTATTAACCAGAGTTAACAAGAGGGATAATTAACTACATTGTTTCTGAAGACACAAATTTATCTTATCAGAATGAAAAATCCTTAAATAAACTTAAATTGACTTTTTACCAAATACTTTTTGAGTAATTTCTTAAATGGCTGCTTTTTACTTGCTACTCTTACAACTTTTTGGAACAGAAAACTGATCATTTTTTGCGTTTCTATTACCTTTTCCTTTCAGTTTGTAGAGACAAATGTGATTTTTATTAACCTAATTAGTATGAACTGAAACCTTGAATATTCGAGACGTTCCTCCTGATCTGGAGACATTTGGCCTCCAGATTGATGTAAAATCCTGGTGTTGCAGTTGTAGCGTGCAAGCAGTCATCTGTTTTGCCTCTGCACCGGCTGCAGCTGCAAGTTGTTTAATGCGCGCAGCGTGATGGAGAACCGCAGCTTCATCACAGAGCAGGGATGACAGAAATATTTGTGGTTTTATGGTGATGCTGAATGTACTTTAAACCCAGATTCCTGGTCAAATATTCACTTTTACACTGAAAAATGGGTTTTATCTGCTTGAAATGTTAAAAAGTGGATTTTTTTCATTCTAATTCTTGACCCTTTTTAATTTTTTATTTGCAGCAAACTAATTTCTACCAGCTACTGTCGGCTGGTTGGCCTGTAAGTATGACATGACACTACCAGCCTTTTCTTGTGTAACACTGAGTTATTAAATTAGTTTCTTCTTGGTGAGCTTGCAGACTGAGGAAGGACCTGCAGGACCTCGTGGAGAGATGGGAAAACCCGGCATACAGGTAGCAGAAAAATAATTCATTTAAAAAAATGAATAAAGCGGAAGATGAGCATTTTTATTTTAATTTTTCTTCATTTCCAGGGGCTGCCGGGTGAACCTGGAGAGGAGGGACAACCAGGGATCCCAGGAGAAATGGTAGATTTTAAAAACAAAATGAAAAACAGGACAGTAGATCATCCCACAAGTTATTATATTTTATATATCATTATAAATGATAATATTGTTATTTTGAGACCATTTTCAATTAATATGTTGATAATGCAAGAACATATTCTCAAAAGAACTTTAAATTGAAACACAGGAACTGGAAGACATTTTAAATGTCCAAAATAAACAGAGGAAAAGGTTTAGATGAGACCAAAACACTAGACTGAAGACTTTTATCATCCAGTTTGTGGTAGAAATATAGAGAAAGGAGAAACAATAAATAATGCTGATGCAGATTATTGAGCTTGTTTTAATTTATTATGCAATAAATTGATTTATTCCTTATTGGCACAGACCCAGTCTGTCTATAAATATATATATATAATAAATAGATTAATACAATTATATTGTTTTTTCCTTGTTGCTATTTTGGGCTCAGTTGAAGAAAACCGATATTTTTTTAAATTGATTCTCATGAATAAAAACTGCATTTATGTCAATATTCTTTTGAAAACACTTCCTGTTTTTGCCAAGTTTTAATAAAGCAATTAAAATCAGATTTAGGTGATTAACTAGATGTGGTCCTAGTTACCAGAAGGAAACAGAAGGTGTTAGTTCATTTTGATTTAAAAGTTGTATTTTTGTCCTAATTTATCAAATTTATTGGTGTTGAGAGGGCTGCAGAAAATCAGTCCAGGAGCCGCAAATGGCCCCCAAACCTCGCTTTGAACATTCTCACCCTGAAATAGTTTCACTGTGTATAGAATAGCTTTTAATTGCAATTTAACCCTAATTTCCATTATTTTTCTGATGTTACATCCAAAGTCTTGTTTTGTGGTTCTCTGACAGTGAACGTTTCTGAAAGTTCAGGGTTTAATCCCAAGCAGTGGCTCCGCTCTGAGCCGCCCCTGAATCGCCACATTTTACACTGATTTTAAATAATATTGGTGGGTTTCAGAAATGGATGAACTGGGTACCGAACACACAACCCTGAGGGACGCCTGAGGTTCCTATATATGAACCAGGATTCTGTTTTTTTCTGGAGGAACCATCAGTTAGACTGTTGGGTTTTTGTTGTCTTGCAGGGGGACCCAGGCCCCAGAGGGCCCCCCGGGCGGCCCGGGACCCCAGGCAGAGATGGGGACGATGGGGCAGACGGTCAGCCGGGGCCTCCTGGACCTCCTGGATCACATGTGAGGACAGATCGGGTTAAAGTTCAGCAGAGCTCATTCATCATAAAACTGTCTCCATGTTGTGTTTCACCTTCATCAGGGGCCGTGGGGCCACAGAGGAGAGCGAGGACCACAGGGAGAGAAAGGTGATGAGGTGAGAATAACATTTTAAATGATAAAAGGTTTGTTGTTTCTAATTATTCTGGCTACAGAAACAATTTCAGCTTCATTCAGAAGACTTCTGAATGAAAGAAACATTTCAGGGTTCAATTAGCTACAAGCTCAACATTTTCATCCATCCGTCTTTCTGTTGGTCTGTACATCCATCCAGTCTTCTTTATTTTCTACCTGTTTGTCCATCATTCTACGTGCCAAGAATGAGAGATTTCTTTCCTACCATCACAAATACAAACATGAGGTTTACCACTGAAACAAAGCCTGAATATGTGAGAAAAACCCTCGGAGTCCTGGTTTAGTACGGTGGAGGGTCTGTGATGCTGGGGGCCCGAGCTTTATAAATACTTTAGGTTGTTGGGTTTTCCATCACAAAAGCAGCTTGTGACCTGTTATTACTGTAATGGAGAACATTTTGAGAGAAAACATGTCTTATGAGAAGCAGGTTCTGTTTTCATAGCATCAATCTTTTTCCTTCTTCGTGTTTTCAGGGTCTGGTTGGCGACCGCGGGCCCTGGGGGGAAACTGGTGGGCCTGGGCAGAAGGTACTCATCACTAATAATCATTATTATTGCTTAAAGCTGCTGAAGATCTTCTTCTCACGGCTTATAAATCAGATCTTTATGAGGAAGTTCAGAGTTTACAAAGTCATAATGGGCACTTCAGGTTTTAACGAGCAAATCAATTAAGTTTAGAGACATAAAGACGCTTTAGTGGCTGCAGAAAACATGATTGGTTTGTTATTTTAACCAAACCTTGTTGATCTATTTTAGACATTTTTTGATGTTTGCTTTCTTTTCTTTATTCCTGCAGGGTGAGACTGGGCTGCCTGGTCCCCCTGGTCCGATTGGACCTCCAGTGAGTCTCTGCAGCAAACACAAATCTCCTTGAACTTTAGCCTGGACTTATGCAAAATTCACATTTTGAACATTTTTATCTTTCCATTTGTGTCTCAACTAATTATAAAAACAACCCAAGTGATTAAAACAAACAAACAAACAAATATATATATATATATATATATATATATATATATATATATATATATATATATATATATATATATATATATATATATATATATATCCTGCCATTTTTTGGGAAACAAATTTAATCATTTTCTGTCCAACCTTTGACCTCAGCAATGAAAGTTATTAAGTGTAAGACTTGACGACCAGATCTAAAGCCGCTAGTCGCCATGTTTTTTTAGAAACAGGAACAGACAGTAAAGACCTGTTGGCTACATTTTTAGCTTTAGCTAAGCTAACTAGTTGGTGCTAAACATCCTATTTCCTGCATTATGTCCAAAAATCAGAAAAAGATTAAAATTATGTTGTTGTTTTTTTTTTTACCACAACACTGGCTCATCGCTTGAGTTTGGGAGCCTTTTTATGATGAAATGTGAGAAATATAAACACATTTTAGATAAATGCAGGCTAATGTAGTTTTGTGTATCGTATGATAACATTTTTAATCTTCTCTGCAGGGACACCAGGGGCTCCGAGGTTCAGAGGGGGAAGAAGGACCCGCTGGACCTGACGTGAGTTAAACATTTATGAGTTCATCATAACTGAGAAGAAGAAGTCAGAAAAGTTTTCTGTACAGTTAGGGATTCATGTAATTTGTTAAAAAAAAAGTTTTCTGTTTTATTTTTGTAAGAATTTTGTATTTTCTGCTGAAATTTGACTTTTTTCCTCCAGGGGGAGAGCGGACCGGACGGCCCCTCGGGCCCCCCAGGGCCACCTGTAAGAACACAACTGTTCTATAAATGTTTTTGTTGCGTTAAAATGTCTTATTTAATCATAAGTTCTTTTGCAGGGAGCGCCGGGTTTGACTGGACCAGTTGGTGCGCAGGGAGCTAACGGCTCGAGGGTAAAACCGTCAAACGATGAACATTATTCTGTTTTTATTGACTTTTTTCAACATCTTCTGGTATTTGTCAGCCATTTTGTTGCAGATTTCCTGTTATGTTTGGATCCTACTCCTATTAATAACCACGTCCTAACAGAAGTCAAATAATTTTATTCAGAAAAGGTCTGTTAACTCTGCAGATTTTTCTGGCAGCAACAGATTCTTCTCAAATTACTGATGCCTGAATGACTGGCTGCTTATCAGCTTTCAATGCTCCACTTTGTTATGGAGTTCCTCAGGGCTGTCTGTTAAGCCCCATTTTCTTGTCAAAGACTTTTAGGAACAATATTGTCGACTCTGTCGAAGAATCTGCTTCTTTTCCTGATTTACGAAACACAGAGGAGTTTCGATTTAGAATATTAAACTGAACAGAAACAAACGTTTCATTTTTGCACCTGATTTTTATTCACTCCATTTATCAAATCATTTTCTTTTGCTCCAATTTAAGCTTCTTTAGTCCTACTTTCATGTACATGTTTAAATAGTGATATGCTCTTAATTTTATGTTTTGTTTTGATTTTCTTTGCAGATAAAATCCTCAAATTGTGGAAAATACTTTTCATTGGCTATTTTAACAATTCAAACTTCTAATATGCCTTAATATTTAATTCCCGCAGTGGAAACCATCTAAGCTAGCGCTATCACAGAAGCTAACAGTCTTCCTTATCTCTGCCCTTCTAGATCCAGCCTATCAGTGCCAAGAAAACTTCCAACTCCAGCCAGTAGCATGCCAGCTAGCGTAGCGTCAAGCTATTTTAACCCAAGCTGCACTTTCTATCAAATACTTTAAATTCAACCCTAAGAGAAAAAAAAACCTGATGTTTTTTGTAAAACTGAACCTTGTATGGTATTTATTTTTACTTTTACTTTGTTTTAAGTCATATTTTTCAATTTACTGAAGGTTTTTTTTAATGATTTAGGTTTTGAACAAACACTGAATTGAGTTTAATGTCTAAACTTGGTGAACTGGTTGTTGTTTTTGTGTAAAAAAAATTTAAAAAGTCGATCATTTGTTTGTTTGTTTGTAGGGCGAAATGGGCCCAGCTGGTGGCGTTGGCCCTCGGGGTCCTCAGGTATAAATTGTTTATGCTGCAGATTTTCAGTTCCTCCTCATGTCTGTATTCTGGTTCCGATGTAAAGTGGCTCCGTTTTGTTCCTGACCAGGGGCCTCCGGGTCCGCAGGGCCAGATCGGACCTCCAGGACACAGAGGCCCTCAGGTGAGCTCAGGTTGTCTGGTTGCTGCCTCGTAAAAGTGGCTGCAGGAGTTAAAATCAACTTTATTTTCCTCCTAACAGGGTCATCCAGGACTGATGGGCGCTGCTGGGCCTAAAGGAGATCCTGTAAGTTAAATCACCAAAACATTGAGCTAATTCTCTGGAAATCTCTGTTTTAAACATTAAGAATAAAAATAGTCACTTCTTTGAGTCATATATTATTGATTCTACGTTTAATGAAAGGAAATAACTAAAGTATTCATCTCGTCTTGAGTTTGTCACATTTTGATACCACAAACTTTAATGTGTTTTATAGAAACAGCAGAATAGAGTGTGGAAGTAAAAATGCTTGTTTTCAATAAACAATTTAAATAATTTGCCCAACATGACAGTGGCAGCATCATGATCTGAGGAAAAAAGTGAACAAATTTGTTTATTTTTTTATAATTTGTTTTTTTAGATTGACATAAAAATTTAAGTTTTTTTTCCTTGCAAATGTTTTACTTTTAAAATTCAGAAATGTCTTTATTCTTGAAAATTTCAAAGATTAATTGAAAAAATTGTGATTTTTTCAGGGGGCAGAAATTTACTCTTTTTTTCCCTCCCACTGATAATAATATTATCAGTGGGATCATCAGGTCATCAGGAGCTAAAGGCGACAAATAATAATAATATTATTATCAGTGGGAGGAAAAAAAATAAGGATAATAATTATAATAATAATAATTTTGTGCTGTTTGGACAAATAGAATAATTTTTCTTCTTAAATCTTGCTTGCAGTTGCCATATTTAATGGTATAAATGCAAAAAGATGAGTATATTCCTGTCAGTTAGTTGTTTTAAACTCTGATGTTTGTCCACAGGGGCCTCTGGGGCCGGTGGGCCGTCGGGGGGATCCTGGCGTTGAGGGCCCTATGGTGAGTTCAGGTCCTGTAATCCACCTGGTTCTGGTTCTCAGCTGGTTTGTGTTGTTTGTAGCATCAAGGCTAAAAAAATCCAAACGGTTCTGTTGATATGAGGACATCCTGCTGCCTCATGCTGCCATCTGCTGGCCAAACTCTGGCACTGCATCATAAATTAATGTTTGCTTCTTTCAGCAGCTCGGCCGATTTTTATTCTATATTTTTATATTTCATGATTTATTGACCTTTTCTACTGTAGTTTGTTGAGTTCATTCCATTTAAAATATTTTTTATTTTTTACTGTATTATTTGGCTTGTTTTACTTTCATTTTTGTGTATTTATTAATATTTGTAATTTTTGCTTTGCTCAGGGGTTTCCAGGCAGGCCGGGTCATCTGGGTTTCCCAGGAGCCACGGTGGGTCGTGTTTCAGACCGACTCGTGTTTCAATATGAAAATATGATTGTTTTATTTTATTATCCACGTTTTATTGTCCTGACAGGGGAACAGAGGAGCCGACGGAGACAAAGGAGACGCAGGAGCTAAAGGCGACAAAGTAGGAGCAACTTGAAGATTTAAAGGCTTTGAATTTAAACAAACCTTTGGTAGAATCAACTTGTTGTGTTCAGTATTTTTCTCTGACTTTGTTTCTTTGTCTCAGGGAGATCCAGGGGCCGCAGGCATCCGGGGCCCTCAGGGGGAGCGGGGCCCCCTCGGTCTGCCCGGCTTCCCCGGGGTCAGCGGCCCGCCGGGCCCTGCAGGTACTGAGGTAAAGACTGAAGGACTGCGATCCAAATAAATAGAATACTAATAATAATCATCTGCAGCTCTTTTAAAAAGGAGTCAATTTTCATGTCAAAAAGCTCAGAAATTTTTAGATTAATCTCAAGAGATTTCTAGAAAAAAACTCAAAATTTTTTAAGAGTTTTAAATTTACAGCTTTTAACTCTCAAATGTTTCTATTTCTTGTAAATATTTGACTTTTGAAACTCAAAAATAAGTGGAAAAATATATATATATTTTTAAATCCTTACATCCTTACATGGACTGATTTGATATTTTCTCGTTCAGGGGACGGACGGTGAGGGCGGCCTGCAGGGGAAGCAGGGCAGCCTGGGGTTAAAGGTCAGTGATAATTTGTGTTTCTACATTGTGATCTCACTACAAAATATTTAATTTTTTCCTAAAAAATAAATAAAAACCTGTTTCCTCCAACATGGCGGCTTTATTCTTTCTTTAGATGGATTTAATTCAATGTCTTAATTTGCATAAAGTATGGATTTGCGATGGAATCGGGCTAATACTCTGACCTTCTTGAAGGGGAACAGAGGACAAGATGGCCGACCTGGCAAACCCGGACCAAGAGGCAACAAGGTTAATCTGACAGGAAACATGTGAACATGTTTATGTTTTGTCAAAGTGACTCATTTATACTTTCGTCACATTGTTTTCTCCAGGGTTTGAGTGGACTGAGGGGCCATCCTGGCCAACCGGGCCCAACGGTGAGTCTGGAAACCGTTAGCTTCAAGACAAAATGTTTGGTGATCAAATTGAGTTAAATTAGTGTTTTTAAACTTGGATTTTGGATAAAATTGTGTAGAAATGTTTTCTAAAAATATACAGTAAAGATTTTGCTGTTTGATTTTTATAATGCCAAATTTAGAAACAAGTGCAGGTAGAATAAACTTACACTTTTTCACTCTAATATTTGTCTTGTTTTTCTTTTTCTTCTCCTTGCTTGTGTATGAAAAGGTTAAAAATGGCGTAAATATAAAAAGATTAATACATACAGGACATAAAAATATAAAAAACCACTATAAAGGTCAGAAACTTTGACGATCTGGCTGTTGACTCCGTTCAAGTTTCTGGTATTTCTTTGTTTTTAAAGGAAAATGAATCATTTACGTTGATTATTTGCAGAAAGAAGTTACTGTTCAGGTGTTTTCCATGTTTTCTTTCAATGAGTTTGTTTTCGGTTGATTCATTTCAGGGTTTCTCTGGGCAAACGGGACCGCAGGGAGCAGAAGGAAAGCCTGGTACACAGGTTCCCATTCTCTGTCATACTCAAATCACATCTAACATAATCAGTGTGTGTGTGTGTGAGAGAGAAAGAGGGAAGAATTTCACATCATTTTATAATTAAATAATTTTTTGACACAATAAACCAAACAATTGTCAGATAATTTTCCTATTTGTTGATTTTTTCATGTATAAATATATTTTTTCTTTCTGTTTTTGTTTCAGGGTTTGCAGGGCGCCGACGGCGGCGCTGGCTTCAGAGGCTCCAGGGTAATCAAACTTTATACAGCTGTTTAAACAACCAGGAGTTAATTTGATGGATGGAGCTCAGAGTAAGAACTAAACTAAAACTTCAAGTTATTAACATCTATGTTTTTTATTTCCTGTACTTTTTTTCCAGGGTTTTCCAGGAAATGCTGGTGAGAGAGGAGCAAACGGGCCGCCCGGGTCACCGGTACGCTGCGCTGACTTTACATCAAACTTTTTATTTATTTCAATTTCTTCTCCTTTTTTAACCATATTTAGCTTCATTTAATCAGAAAATTTTTTAATATTTGCCTTTCTTGTTCCAACATCTTTAGTATTAACATAAAAAACATCAATAAAAACTTAAAACTGCTTCAATTCAACACAATGAATTGGAAAGCTTATTTTTTATTTTATTTGCAATTAAACATTATAAACATAAAACTAAAAACATTTCAGCTGATAGATTCATAAACACAAAAACAAAGAAGATTAAATCTAGAATTTCACTTTGTTTTATTTAGTTTTCTAGTTACTTATTGTTTTTTTAAATAATTGTTGTTTTTGTCTTATTCAGTCAACAAAAATGTTTTCTTAATTTCAGTTTCTGTCACTTTGTTAGTTTTAGTTAGCTGTAATAACCTGGGTTATGCAGAGTAAACACAGTAAACAGTATCCAACCCTGCTTAAGAATCTAATCTGAGTGTTTTTGTCTTTCAGGGGCCACCAGGAAAGTCGGGGCCCCCAGGATCTCCGGGTCCACCAGGAGAAAAAGTGAGTCGTCCATAATCAGAACATGAATTATTGTTGTATAAATGTATATTTATTCTTATCTGTGATCTGATTGTTATTGTGTTTTGTGTTTCCAGGGTTTCACAGGGAAACCGGGCCTGGAAGGACCTCAGGGCCCAGTTGGCATGTATGTAAGTGATTCCTCAGCATTGATCTCTAATATTGAATTAACACAAAACAAGCTTAGATATGCGTTAAAAAATTAAAACAAATTAAAGTAAATATTGAAACTGGACAAGATTTTTTACAAACACACAATAATAACAATGATAATGTGATATCATTTAATTATTTGTGTTTTAGTGGGTTTAAAATAGTCCTGTTGTTAAGAGTTTTGTTTTTAACAAAGGAGATTTCTAAAAAAAAATATCAGAAAACAGTAAACTCCCCGTTTTCAAAACTTCTGCATAATTTTAACAAAGTAAAGTTGAAATTACTATTTACAAATAAAATCTCCTTTTCTGGTCATTTTGATTGAAATGAATAAACTTAAAGGCCAAAAAGATCTTTGTGCTTTTAAAGAAAACCCTTAGCCAAAATGCTAAGCTACACTGTTGTTGTTGTGTTAGTATTTCTGGTAATTGATTTTCTTCTTCTCCAATCAGGGTGCAGTCGGGGCCGTGGGGACGCGAGGGCCTCCAGGATCACTGGGAGGAATGGTAAATAAATTCCTCCCTCATTCCCCATCAATGGTAACGATATTCTGAATCAAAGGTTGAAGTTTTGGAAGTGAGGTTGTGTCAAAACATTCAAAGTATTTTGTATGTTACCTCCAATATGCAGCATTTACCGTAATTTCTGTACTATTGCGCGCACCTGAATATAAGCTGCACCTGAATATAAGCTGCACCTGAATATAAGCCGCACCCAGTACATTTTTAAAGAAAAACCATTTTCTACATACATGAGCCACATGTGCCTACATTGAAACATGAGATATTTACACAGAAAGAGTTTTGGTAATATACCTCACAGTGCCTGTGACGTGGCAGCGACACAGCAGCAACACAGTAGCACAGCGCTAACACGGCTGGTTAAAAAAACACATCGGTAAAAATCATTGAGAGCCATCTTCATCTTCCTCCTGTTCACTGAAACCACGGAAGTCTTCCTCCTCAGTGTCGGTTTGAAATAATGTCACAAACACATGAGGGTCTGTTCATGCTAATTTTATTCATGCACAAAGCGCAAAGCTACATGAAACTTGCGTCTTCCTCCACACATATATTTCACCTGTCTCACTCTTACCTTTTCTGCTCCAGCGCCCCTGGTGGCCGTTAGAAAAATGTGTTAATTGGCCGCATCATTGCACAAGCCGCAGGGTTGAAAGCGTGAAACAAAAGTCTCAGTTCATAGTCCAGAAATCATGGCAGTTTCAGTGGAGAATTAGGGAGAAATTAGCCAAGTTAAAAGTTTTCAACCATCTGAAGTGCAAAACTTTCCAATAAACTGCTGTCAACTGACATGAAGAAAAACATTGAATTTCTTGATGTTCCATTAATTCTCATGGTTTTTATTTTGTTTAGTTTGTTTTGTTTTATCTTTTGATGATTTAAGTTAATGGAATCTGTCAAGCTAAAGAAAATAGACAAAAATTCTTGAATTTCTTTATTTCCAAAGGGAGAGGCGGGAATAAGAGGATTACCGGGCCCAACTGGGAAGCCGGGTCCCAAAGTAAGTATCTCTGTTTTATTTTTTATATGTTTTGTCTTTCACAATATCTCTGAAAGCTGATCCTGGTGAGGATGTTTTAGTATTAATGCAAGAAATTTGAGGTTTTGAAGCAATAAACAGGTTTTAATTGTTTAATTTCTTATGATCTCTATTAAGGGTCTGCCAGGTTCTGCTGGAGAGAAAGGACCTCGCGGATCTCAGGTCAGAAAATGTATTTAAAAATCATTATGAGATGAAATGTGAAAAGGATTTTCTGCACTGAAAAGTTATTTCACAATGAATTATCGCTGACCTTCCATTAAAAATCAATTTAGTGTCTTCAATCATCACAATAATGAGATAAAATAATTAAAATGTTATCATTAGGGCCGACCTGGAGATGAAGGACCCAAAGGAATCCTGGGACCGCCTGTAAGTTTATACCATATATTGTATTTATCTTATTGTTCACATTTGTGTTTTTAATTACTTTTTCTCCTTTTGATTATGTTTCTGAGTCACTGATTTCATGTTTGAACTAAAAATAATGGTTTGTATTTCTACAAAATGGCAGCTATTGTTGAATTTCGTTCATTTATTTCACACATTATTATTTATTTAAAGGAAAGAAATGAATTTTGCTTTTAATTTCAACTGTGCAGCTGCTCAATTTTCTTTAAAATTGACAAATCAACACCAGATAGATGAGGATTTAAGTAAGTAACTTTCATTTTTTCAGAAATGTCCTCCAGTCTTTTCACGATCTCCTGTTTGAACTCTTACAAAACTAAATTGCATCTTTAATTTATAATAAACTCATCTTTTAAAAATGTAATTTCTGCAGAGAAACGTGGGATAAAAACATTTTAAGTGTTGCGTAAGAGGTCAATAAATCAATAACAAGCTAGTGGTTGCCTAGCAACAAGCCCCCTCCCAACTTTGGTTGCCTGGCAACGACCTGCCGAGTGACTGACACGGCAGCAGTTTCATGTTTCTCCTGAACGCCTCATAACTCAACAAATAACGACATGCAGAGACAACTGGAGAGGTCTGAACAGTTTGGAAATATTTTAGACATTTAAAAAAACAAAAACAATCAATAATTATCGATACAAAGCAATTATATCATGATAAGTTTTCAGCCATATTTTAACATTTCAACTTTATTATTTAAAGTTTAGAGACAACTCTGATTAAAAAATCCAAGCAACTTTCTGCTCACATTTTGATTTCATCTTTTATTTCTCAGGGCCCTCCTGGTCCTCCTGGTCCCAGCGGTGGGACGGGCAAACCTGGACCCAGAGGAACCATCGGGCCCCCGGGGCCTCAGGGGCCGCAGGGGCCAGCAGGAATCCCAGTGAGTGGGTACCTACCATTGACTGCTGAATTTTTAAATACCTTTCAGTTAAATGGGTTAATAAATCACCTTAGTTTATGTAAAGTTGTTAAAAAGTGACAAAACATTTCTGCTTTTGTTTTTTTTAGGGCCCACAAGGCGCTGATGGCTCAGTGGGACCAGCAGGAGAAAAAGGACACAGGGTAAAACATCATTTATAAAGTTATTATTATTATTATTATATGTGTGGATTTACTGAGTGGATCAAACCTCCAGGGTTTCCCCGGACTGCCAGGCGACCCAGGACCCCCAGGACTCAGCGGACCACAGGTTGGCTTGCTTTACGTTTTTAAGATGTTTCACATTTCAAAATGAAATATTTATACAAAGAAATCAATACAATTGGTCCTGTGAGCTGAATTTGAACTCTGAGACTGAAGTCATTTATTTATGAGACCTTTAAGATGCTTTACATTTAAATCAGAAACCCAACCTGGTCAAGGCAGCGTTATAGAGCCGCCATCATGTTAAGATGCTTTGTTGTTGTGGAGAGAATAATTTTGTCTCTTCAGGGTCTTCCTGGACTTGCAGGAACCGAGGGTCCAACTGGAAGGAAAGGAGATCAGGTCAGGCAGAACTCATCCATGAATCTGTTCAAAATGTTTAATTAAAATAACCGACTGCATTTTGTCCCTGAACACATTGTTGTGAGGGAACCTTGTAGGTTTCAAGGGAAAAATGAAGAAGTTTCGGTTTAAATTCGTCTCATTTTTCTTCAGCTGCTGGTTCAGTGACTTTTATAAAATATTATTTCTGTTATTCAGATGAATCTTTGCCCTTTGTGTTCATAGATAATAACGATTAATCGAATTAATCGATTGTTGAAATAATCGTTAACTAATTTAGTCGTTAATTAATTGTATTTTAGACTCAAAAAGGCTTTTTCCTGAAAGAGAAACACATTTAGAGCAGTAATTAAGCCAAAATTGTGCAAAAATATTAACTTTTTATGTTTAATTAAATTTTTTTTAAAGAACAAATGTTCACAAAAGGAATGTTATGTTATTTCATTTTAGGCAATAAAATATTCATTTTTTTATTAAAAGGGATTTTAATTACTTGCATTTTTAATGTATTTCTAATATTGTATAAAAAATGTCGAAATCTGCAGAATGTTTTTATCCGATTAATTGTCAGAATAATCAATTAATCGATACCTAAAATAATCGTTTGTGGCCGTCTAATGTGTTTTTGATTGATTGATTGATTGATTGAAACTCGAGAGGTTTAGCGGTTTTAGCAATGACATCATAAGTGCTTAATTATTCATTGTATGAACAATAATAAATAATTTCCATCAAAGCTCCAATGCAGTATCGTTCATAATGAAGTTACAAAGTTATTTTGTCTTCCTGCCTGAAAACTGAGACGTTAGCATGTCACGACAACAGTCTTCAGTCAGAGGCCTCTTCAGAGTCACTGCGACACTGACTGCTACTGGAAATCCAGCACCACCATCTACAACGACTCTTAGAAGACACTTGGATGAACAGAGAATGAACCCTGCGTTGTTACCAGGTTCTGCTTCTTGTGCTGCTTCAGGGGGATCTGGGTTCGTGTGGGACGATTGGAGGTCCAGGACCCAAAGGGGAACGAGGATCCGAGGGGGTCAAAGGTCTCCAGGGTCCCCCGGGACCAGCCGGCAGAGAGGTGGGTGCCCCAGTCAGTGCATTTACTGCAGGTGGAGTTCAACCCCTCACAGAAGAAAATGAGTTTTAGGATGGAAGAGGAGTTTTCACTTGTTCACAAAGCATGAAATTAAATTTTTACAAGGAAGAAAGAAAACATTTAAACCTGATTCTGTTCAGGTGGAGAGAGTCTGTCATTTATTTTTTTATCCTCAGAAGTATGAAATGTGTGGAGCAGGAAGTCATTAGGATACATAAAAAATCACTCATGTAAAAGTAAAAAGTATTTGGTGAAAAAGCTTCTCAGGTACTGAGTAACTGATCCAAACATCATTTTGTTGAAAACATCACATAAAAGGTTATGTGGAAATGTTTGAATATTATAGAACAAAATGAAAATAATTCATATTTTAAATGACATCATTTCCAGTTAAAGTAACATTTTTCCAAATCAGCTTATTTCACTTTAAAACTTTAACAAAGTTTTAAAACTTTAACAAAGTTAAAGTTTTAAAGTGAAACTTTAACTTTGTTAAAGTTTTTTCCATTTTTTCCATTTTGTGAATAATAAAAAAAATGTTTTCAAAAAAGTTACTGAAGTAAATGTAACTGAGTAAATGTAACTAAAATCTCTAAAATTGGCACCTTTAGACAAAAATCTGAGAAGTACATTTCAAACACAAAACTCATAAAGGTGCCGTCAGTTTTGTTTTACAGTGTTTGTGATCAGCTTCGTTGAGTTTGTTCAGTGGAAATCAGCCTCAGTGGTTCTGGTTGTTCTGCAGGGGGAAGTCGGGCTTCCAGGTGAAGCCGGAGACCCTGGACCCGAAGGAGAGAAGGTAACGGTCCTGAAACAATTAATCGATTAATCACAGTTAATCAATTACCAAAATAATTATTTGCAGTCGTACTTCTGAGCGTCTCTAACTCTAGATGATTATTTTCTGAGTCTATCATCACCTCATATGTGAGGTGATGATAGGTTCGGTCCACGAGTTTTACCATTTCTTTGAAATAATTATCATTTTAAATGGGCAAAATGTAAAAACACAAAAATCACAAACTCTAAATGCTGAATTTCTGTGCTACAAATGATCAAACTTTCACTGGAGGAATGCTGTTGTTGCTTTTAGGCAATAAAATGTTTATTTTCTTGGTGAATTGTTTGTTTATTTGCATATTTTAATATAATTCTAATATTGTGTAAATGGTAGTTACATAAAAAAAATCAGTGAAGTGATAATTTTGTAATCTGAACAAATCAATTAATTGTCCAAATAACAGATTAATCAGCCGGATAATCAATTAATTGTCTGAATAATCTACAGTTGAAGAGGAAGTTGCTTGTGTTTGTTGTTGCCAGGGCGGTGGGGGGCCCCCCGGTCTGACCGGCCCAGAGGGCCCCTGGGGGTCCATCGGGGAAAACGGGCTCCAGGGGCCAAAGGGAGAAAAGGGAAACAACGGGAGAACGGTGAGAAAACCTGACATTGAGAGGAATGGGGTTGAAAAATGAAAGTTTGAGTTTGCTCTGTTTGTGTTCAGGGTGAGCCCGGAGCGGCCGGCGGTCCGGGTCCTGGAGGTCCGTCAGGGCTGCAGGTGAACTGGTTAAACTGGTGAAACTGCCCTGCTGGGTTTCACCAGTTTCACCGTCTCACTGGTTTATTCTCTGGTTCTGGTTGTTTCAGGGGATCGCGGGTCGTCCAGGACGAGCAGGACCAGATGGACCGCCGGGACAGAAGGTAACACCGGCGCCGTTTTCCATCCTGATCAATAATTTCAGCAGAATAATTAATGCTACATTTATCTATGCATTCAGTAAATTATTGCATTTGTTGCCTGGAAACTATTAATTTTTAAAAGTTCCACGATAAAAAAGGTAAATATACATTTTTAAAACAAAAACCATGTACCTCATGTAATTTCGTTATTTAAAATTTGTACGTATGATTTGATAATTTTATTTTATTTTGGGCTTTTATTATAATTTTAATTGATTTCCTCTTGCAATTTTTTTAAATAACTAAATTTGATTAAATTATTACATAATTTTGGTCTAATGTGTATTAAATGTTTTGTACTTGGATGAATGACTAATTAAATAATTACTTAAGTGTAAAATTTACCAAATAAAATGGACAATAAATACATAAATGACAATTTTATGTAAAAAAAAAGAAAGTTTTTCTAAAATTTATTACATTTTGAACAAGAATTATTAAATAAAACTAAATGATTCAGAAAAAATAATTCTGTACAATTGTAGTAAAAAAGTTTTAATTTATTTTGACACTTTCAGTAATGACATTTAAATAATTATAGATGTATTTGTCTGCATTTGAATATTTCTGTAATGGGTTAAAGTTTCTGTATTTATTTATATTGAGTTTCAACATTCAGTAAAAGAAAGAAGTAATTAAATTCTCAAAGGTATATAAGTTATTATATAAAATAATATAATGATGGGTGGATTTATCTGAATTTGGAAATAAATTAATACTTAAATCACCACTTTTCAATATTTATATTTCTTGATACTTTTGAAGCTGAAATGTAACAATTATCACCGTTTTGCTGTTAAAAGTTGAATATTTCACCTTGTTAGGGGGAACCGGGACCAGCCGGACTCTCTGGACCTCCAGGATCAGACGGTCCTCAGGTGACAAATGGATTTTAATCGTTCTGTTTCTGCAGTTTCTCTTTCAGTCATTCATTATGTTTATCCTGCTGACTTTGTTAGGGGGTCATCGGACCCAGAGGGGTCAGAGGAGACGCCGGGGGCTTCGGGCCGCCTGTGAGAGTCTGAAATAGCACAAATAAAAAACAATAAAATGTCAGAAAATTCACCTTATGCTAACGATGATCACCTTCTGTTTTTGTCTTAGGGTCAAACTGGTCAAGCTGGACCAAAGGGGGACGAAGGAGCCAAAGGTGAACCCGGGACGTTAGGGGTCAGAGGTGAACCAGGAGTACCAGGCCCACCAGGAGAACAGGTTACCAGGAGTTTATTTTCAACCAGAAGACCATTAACATGTGGCTGACATTTTTTAATATGTAAATAAAATTATTTTTTTGTTCAGAAGGACAGATTTCCATCACATTCGTTATTTACAGTTTTACCATTTGAGGTCGGACATGAGGATAGCGAGGATTTTGTCCTTAATTCCTTTCTGGTATTTTCTTTTACAGACTGTTGCTAAGTTTAGTTGTGAACCATAACAAAAATGAACAGAATTGCACAAAAAAATGGGGATTGAAATAAAAATCACAAGAACAAAAAAGGGCAGGACACAATTTATAAGAAAAGTCAAATGAAATCAGATCTAATTGGTTTTACATACTCAGTCCATTTGGTCCAGATCTTATCAAATTTTCCTTTTTCAACTTGGAGGGACAAAGAAATCTTTTCCATGGCATAAATCCAGAAATGTGACTAGTTAGCTATCACAAGCTAACTATCTATAGCTGGCTATCTAATTATTTGTTGCTAGCCAGATAATGATACATATAGGTAGCTAACTAGATAGCATTAGCTAGATAACTATAGCTAGATTGTGATATCTATGGGTAGCTAACTAGATAGCATTAGCTAGATAACTATAGCTAGATTGTGATATCTATGGGTAGCTAACTAGATAGCATTAGCTAGATAACTAGCTAGATTGTGATAACTATGGGTAGCTAACTAGATAGCATTAGCTAGATAAATATAGCTAGATTGTGATATCTATGGGTAGCTAACTAGATAGCATTAGCTAGATAAATATAGCTAGATTGTGATAACTATGGGTAGCTAACTAGATAGCATTAGCTAGATAACTGTATCTATATGGTAAACCATAAATTTCCCACAAGGAGAGGCGTTTTGTTGCTTGGGAGAGAAGTATCTGGGTTTCCTGGATCTGAACCTATATTAGTGGAAACCAATGGATGTCTGGATGGATGCATCGACTTTCATCACTTCTGTAACTTCCTGATGAATATTTGTTTGTAAAAATCCTGTTCAGGGTGAAGATGGACTTCCTGGAATCCAAGGTCCTTCAGGTCTACCAGGGTTGGAGGTGAAACCATGAATAAAATCTACTAATAATCCTCTAAAGGGTTCATTTTTAAACCGTCTGACTTTGTACTTTCTGGGGTCAATTGTAGGGACCCCCGGGACAGATGGGAGCTCAGGGTCCTCCCGGCCTTGTAGGGCCTTCTGTAGGTATCTAAGATAAATACATGAGACCCTAACAGATGCATGTTTATTTTAATCAAAATAAAGTAATCCTCAAAGAACTGTGTGTGATTGCTCAGTGCTAATAGAACCATATTGGTTTGCAGGGGATAAATGGAAAACCTGGATCTGAAGGGAAACAAGGCGCCAAAGGAGAGAAGGTCAGATTATATCATTACTTAACCTTTTAAAATATGTAAAATAAAGGTAAACGTTACGCACTCAACAATGCAAGTTGGAGAAACGTCATAATGTGGCATTTGGAGTCCATAAAACAATGTTCAGTTAATGTCTCTTTTATCAGATTTTAGATATCTGATGGTAATTTAAGAAGCTCAATGGGGGTTTAGGGGCGATTAAGATAAATGTTGAGAGTTCAGGCTTGAGACATAAAAGACCAGAACCCTATGAAGTGATTTAAAAGCTTTTTTTAAATGAGTTTAATCAGCTTGGTTCAGAAAAAATAAAATGCTGCAATTATCCAGTCCAAAAAGTGATGAAAATACTATTTTCATTTACAGCTAGCTAGGTAGCCACAGCTAGTTATGCTCTACATCTACAGTAAGCTACCTGTAGCTAGCTAGCAGCTGTAGATATTTTGCTATCTACAGCTAGCAATCCATCTGTCACTGCAGTAAAGATCTCCAAAAAGCCAAATTATTAATAAAAACACGCGTCTTGCTAAGGAAGCAATAAAGACAGAATTTCAGGTTCAAATCGAGACATTAGATGTAAATTTGCTCTTTTTCGCTCCAACAGGGAGACGATGGTGGAATTGGACCTTCAGGGAAAACGGGTCCCATGGGAAGGAGGGTAAGGTGACCCTGATTCTGTTGCACATTTCCAATTTCCTTTTCCTTTAGAGAGTTTGTCCCTGTTTTGAATGTCATCTCGGTGAATAAAGTTCCTTTGGTTCAGGCGGTTTGCATAAGAGTGAACATGTCTAAAAGCAGAAGTTTCATGCATTAAACATGGCGCAGATTGTTGTGCATTTCCCTCATTTTGACACAAACACGTCGAACATTTCCTCAGGGGAAACGGGGGAAGGCTGGAGTCAGAGGGACCAGAGGAGAGCGAGGACTAAAGGTGGAGAATACAGAAACATTACCGGGACGGTTTCATGCGTTTGGTTAAATCTCAACTGACAGTTTGTGATTTTTATGTCATTCAGGGTGAAGCAGGAGAAAAGGGGACGACAGGCCTGCTTGGCTGGCCAGGAAGGATTGTAATTTTATTTCTTTACTTGATAAAAATGACTTTTAGAAAAGGTGACTCATATATTTTGATTTATTGTCTAATTTATCGATTTTTGTGTGTTTTAAGGGAATTCCTGGGCTACCTGGAGATCTGGGGGATCAAGGTGGAAAAGGAGACGAGGTAAACCAGACTGATTAAACTTACTGAACATTTTAAAATTTGGACATATCTTGGCATAAATTTAATTAACTTAAAAATGGATGACAACTAACCAAGCCTGGAGACGAAGCACCTTGCAAAGAATCTAGACATTTTGTCAAAATTTTATGTGACAGATCAACAGAAAACAACCTAAGTGCGCAATATATATATAAAAAAATATGTTATCTAGCAACCCAAGCGGAGCTCCAGCATATTTGGTCAGCTGGTTTTACTTCTGTAATCTCTGTACAATGGCTGCCGGAAAAGACAAATGTTTTGTTGTTGACTTAACATCCAGAAACCACTTGCTGCATTATTGTTGGTTGTGCAGGAGGCTCCAATTCTGCTTTTCAAAGATGTGCTGTTGTATAACTGGGCATCTGTTTGCAGCCATTTTCACATAGGAGAGTAAACGTTGAGTTGGGGGCTTCGCCAGCAGGAGATTATTTGGATTTAAAGTGACAAGACGCCATAAAACAGTTTAAATCTCATTGTCTAAGAACAGTTTTGTGTAAAAAATGTAATGAACATGTTTTGTATAGGCCACAGATCTGTTCCAACCTGTTCATGGAAGCATAATACCTTTAACTGCAGTTTGAAGCAAAGTTAGGGTTTTAAAACAATACAACCCTAACTCCTGCGTTTTGGTCTTCAGGGTGAGAAAGGAGACATGGGAATACCTGGACCACCTGGACCTGAGGGCAAAAAGGTACCACTGTCTTTTTAAATGGAAAAGTTTTTAACGTGTTTTTCGAGGGAGATTTATGTCCACAGGGTTTAATTTTTGAGATGTAAAGCAATAAAATGCTGCTCTGACAAGAAAAATACATAAAGAAAAGTCTGAAAAATGTTATTTAATATTCCAGGGAAGTCGAGGTCCAGTCGGTCTGACTGGTCCAGCCGGCCAGAAAGGAGAACAGGTACTTCCTAATTATTTCATATCCATAAATAAACCCTCAGTTCATGCATATCATGTATGTTTATCATTTAAATGTCACTTTTAATGACGTATTGGTCAAATATTCCTTACAGTTCTAAATGCAGATTTAATAAATCTGCAGAATGTACCAATTTTTTATTTGATTAATCATTTGTATAACTAGATTAATCGATAACTAAAGTAACCGTTGGTTTGAGCTTGGTTTGCCGTTTGTGAATTTGTCTAAAAACAAAGTTTTGGTTCTGGTTCCGGTGTTTCCAGGGAAACATCGGTCCGCCCGGGCCCAGAGGAGCGCTGGGAATGCCCGGCTTACCTGTAAGTAGCTTCTTCACATTATTGACACAATCAGATATTTACTGTCAAAAAGGTGATTGTTACTAAAACTATTTGGTGTAATTTGCAACTTATGCCACTAGATGTCAGTATATCCCACAAAATTGATTTACTTTAGTGTATTTTAGTAGAAATGATATAGTTTTAATTTTTAATATGTAGATTCAAAATCATGGACATAATTTATATGAAGAATATTTTCCATTAGCAAACTAAAATCTTAATTCAGAACAATTTATTATGTTTATTTCCTAATGGATGATAAGTAATCTAAATGTTTCTTTTCTGTTTTAAGAGTTATTAAGATCTAAATGTTAATATTGTGATTATGTGAATGTTTCATTTTATTATTTGAGAGTGAAAATAAAATTTCCACCTAAAGGACATAAAGTTTTATTTTCTCTTTGTTTGTTTGCAGGGATGGTTTGGATTAAAGGTATGATGTCATCAACAAGATATGTATGAAATGCAAATATTTTTGTTGTAAAAGTCTAAAGTGAGCATTAGAAGGTAAAAAAAGTTCTCGCCAATTTTCCTAGAATTTAGCAAATAGAAATAATTTTGTTAGTTGTAACCAAGCTAAACGTTAGCCTGGTTTTAGCGATGGTGTTTGTAGTTCTACATCTCTAAATGTTGTTTATTTTTCTGGCAGGGGTTGAAAGGTTACCAAGGTCAACCTGGACTTCCTGGAAGGAGGGGCCTCCCAGTAAGTTAACGAAATGATAGATAGATAGATAGATAGATAGATAGATAGATAGATAGATAGATAGATAGATAGATAGATAGATAGATAGATAGATAGATAGATAGATAGATAGATAGATAGATAGATAGATAGAGAGATAGATAGATAGATAGATAGATAGATAGATAGATAGATAGATAGATAGATAGATAGATAGATAGATAGATAGATAGATAGATAGATAGATAGATAGATAGATAGATAGATAGATAGATAGATTCCATTTGTGTTGGTTTTATTTTGAAGATTTTTCTGAAAGTTGTGTTTTGTAAATGTGGGATAATTGGTTGACCTTTCATGACCTTTATGAATAGCTAACATCTATTAGCTGATAGCTATTCATCTTTAACATGATGGCGGCACAAACAGAAGTTTTTTGCAGCACACACTTTTGACACCATTTCTGCTTGATTTGTTGCAGTTTGTATTTTAAGACGTGATAATTTTTATTTCTCTCCTTCAGGGCCCACCTGGAGTCCCCGGCCCCCCAGGAAAGTCACTGAACATCACTTTCACTCAGATAAAGGCAAATTAATCAGTTTTCTATGTGACATATGATCAGTATTGCAGTTTTTTAAATAAACAACTGGTCTTACCCTGGGTGGTTACAGGAACTGATAAATATCTGGGTTTTATTATCATTTCTGTATCCAGAGCCTGATGTACATGTCGGACAAGCCAAACTTCTCCCTGATCCAGACGCTGCTGGACTCCCTGCAGCAGGAGCTGCGGCTGCTGCTGGACCCTCCTGACGGGACCAAGCTGCGCCCGGCCACCACCTGCCTGGAGCTCTGGCTCTGTCACCCCGACTTCAGCAGCGGTGAGAAACGGCCCTGCATTAATGCAGCCATCGACTCATTCATGGTTTTTAGCAGCTAAGGCAGGAGATAATGTGTCCTAGTTCAAGAAGGATCGTCTCTAATATGCTAACTTTTCAAATTAAAAGATATAAACTTGGAAAGTCTGTTTTTTATTTCTTACACATATTGACATAAAAATAGAAGGAAGAAAGAGTTTAAAAACATTTATTTGTTTGTATTCCTGAATGATTGTTTAGCATGCTACGCTAAACAGCTGTAGCGTGCTAGCTACTTGCTAGCACGCTACAGTTCAACGACTCAGTATGTTTGTAGCGTGCTAGCTACTTGCTAGCACGCTACAGCTGTGTAGCGTGCTAGCTAGCAATTCTACATAGACAGTTATTTACCAACCTATGACTAGATATCTAGCTAACCAGATAAATAGCTACCCAGCCAATTATCTAGTTAGCTGTATTTTATAATCAGCTAAATAAATAGCTACATATTAGGTATTTAGCTAGCTGTCTGCTTAGCTATCAAGGTAAATAAATATTTATCAAGATATCTATCAAGATAAAACACTAAATAGATAGCTAATTAAATAGCTTAATACATAGCTATTTAGTTGGCTATCTATGTAGCTAGCTATCTATTTAGCCATCTCAGTATGTTTGAAATAGCTAAACATGTAGCTACTAGCTTTCTATATCGGTAGACAAATAACTATTTTATTTTTTAGCTATGCAATTACATATATATCTAAATATCTATGTATTTAGTGACCTAATTACATAGAATACATATAGCTAGTTATATTTGGCTATCAATAATCAAAGTTGAATTCATATTTATATGTTTAGATATCTAGAAATGTTGTTTTTCTGGCTTCTCTCCTCTTTCACAATAAGTGAGCTGTTGTTGCTTCTTGTTTCACCAGAGTTATCATCAGCACAGCGTGGCTGTGTTGATCCTTGCTGATCTCTCTGAGCTGCTGCTGTTCCCTTTCTCCTCTGCAGGAATGTATTACATCGACCCCAACCAGGGCAGCTCCGCCGACGCTCTGCTGGCTTACTGCAGCTTCACCTCCTCATCAAAACAGACCTGCCTTCACCCCGAACACTCCCAGGTATGAAACCTGCACCGAGGACGGCTGCAGGAAATTACACGACGTCTCGTTAAAGCCCCTCAGTTCAACGACTCGCAGCCCGAATATGCTCTTAGTGCCAACACTGAGGCCATAACAGAGATGATTTGAGGCAGAGTCACTCTCTCCATCTCTTTAAATGAAAAACAAACATTTTTGATTAGAAACATCGTTTTTTCCTGCAGCTGCCGATGAAAGCTTGGATGGAGGAATCAGCTGAGGATGGATCGTTTCAGTGGCTCAGCAGGTTGGATCAGGGTCATCAGGTGACTGATATAAACCTACAGCATCATGTTCATTAGTTTCTTTCATTGGTTTACCTCTTAATTTAGCAGATATTCATTCATGAACACTGGCAGGAAGACCCAGATTCCATTGGAGAGGATATGTACTATAAACTGAAACCCAGTTCTTAATGTCTGTTGATAAACAAGAAAAAAAAACATTTTCAACTCGGGAGATAAATGATGTGAAGCAACTGCATCCATATTAATAAATAAAGAAATCAGTACAAAATAACATCAATGACACAGAACTGTTTCTTTCTGGATCAAAATTAAGATTTTTAGCTGTTATTATTAAGGCTGAAGCGATTAATCATGCAATTAATTGATTATTAAAATAATCGTCAACTAATTTAATAGTTGGTTAATTGTTGACTGAAGTACAAACTCAAAAAAGGCAATTTTCTGCAAATAAATGAATATATTCAGAGCAATATTTAAGCAAATACAAATGTAAACATCATGCAGTTATGCTAAAAAAAAAACACCTCTCTGTAAATATATTTTTTCCAAAACTCCTCAAATGGCACAGTAGCTATTTAGCAATGTGTTTAGCTATTAAGCTAGCTAGATATTAAGCTATCAAGCTACGACTAAATATAGCTAGCTAGAAAACTAACTATATATTTACCTATAGCTTAAAAGAAAGCTAGCTAGATTGTTTGCTATATATGAACATATACTGTTGCTAAATAGCTGAAAAGGGCTTAATTAAGTAAAAATTGTTAAAAAAATATATATACATTTTGCAATTGAGCTAAAACTATCTTTGTCTGTAAATATGTTTTTATCAAATCTCTTCAAGTTATTTCATTTTAAGCCATAAAAGGTTGTTTTAGCTGTTCTCTTTGTTTTTATTTTCATTTTTTTATTGTATTTCTAATATTGTACAAAGAGACTTAAGTGGTTAGATGAAAAATCTGTAGAATTTGCCATATTTTCGCCCAATTAATCGTCAGTAAAATAGATTAATTATCAGAATAATCAATTAATCACCAGATCGATTGATTAATCGATTGATAAAATAATTGTTAGCTGCAGACCTGGTAAATATTAACATTGATGATGTGTTTTAGTTTTCTTATCCAGGTGAGAGTGTGGTGCAGATGCGTTTTCTGCGGCTGCACAGCGTCTCTGCGTCTCAGACGGTGACCTACTCCTGTCATCCAGGAAGCCGTCTGGGTCCGACCGACACAGAGGTGAAATTCCTCACCGATACCAGGATGCAAAGCTACCTCGGAGAGCTGAATGACTGTGTGGTATGTGGAGACAGGAAAAATATGTTTTTAGTGAACACTTAAAAACCATTACATTTTATATTTTATGCGATTATAAGTGATCTCTGTGGTAGACTAGCTACTGCTGCTAGTAGCTAAACTAACACAGCGGTGGTAGATTAGCTAATTTAAACACCTGCTCTACTGACAATCAGACTTGTTGTTTACTTTCCCCTATTTTATTATTTAACTGAACCAAAACACAGAACTCCACAGCACATCTACATGTTAAGTTTGTCATAGTCAAGCTAGCATATGTGACCTACTTCCTCCTCCCTCTCTATTATTTTTCATAATTCAAACTTTGTTCTGACCTTGTTACCTAGATTTTGCAGTGTTGACAATTAGTAGCAAAATACTGCGTCCCTTTTCTTTTATATATCAGGCGAACAGTTAAGATTTTGCGCTTTATGTTGATAACTTGACAGCTAAGACCGATGCTAGTAATCGGCTAGCAGCAGCTTTTTGCCCTGCAGCATCTGTTGCGCGCTGCAACTATTACATCAACAGATAGTTTGTTGTTTTTTTCAGCCTGTGGAGGAGACGGTTTCCGGTTCTGGAGAGTCTGTGTTGGAGTTCGAGGACCTGCAGCTGCTTCCTCTCAGAGACGTGGCGGTGATGAACAGCGGAAACTTCACGCACCAGTTCAGCTTCACCGTCGGACCCGTGTGTTTCAGCTAGAAACCTTCCGCACAGAAATCCAGCAGGATTTTAAATCACGAACTCAGAAAGATCTTCTTTCTCCAGTTTCTGGAGATTTCTCTAAGTTCCTTCTCTTTTGTTGGGGGATTGAATCCCTCGGTTTCAGTGACTCTGTTGCTTTTTTAACAGAGAAATCATTTTTGTTTACAGAGACATTCATCTGGTATAAAGTAAATTAAATATGTATGTTTTTTGTGCTGTTCACATTCGTTAGTTTGTATATGAGTCAGACGGTTTTGCTTCCAGGCCGGTTCTGTCCCACTGATGCCAGTTTATCACTTTAACTAAAAGTGCTGATCATTTATTTAAAGCTTATTCAGATGCTGTCGTCATCTCATGCATACTTGGTGCTAGCTGTTTACGATCAGTCCTCGTTTTAAAAGATGCAAAGCATTTCTGTTACATTTTGTTTCTGTATTTTGATGTACATATAAATATAATTTTTTTCTTTTACATCTCAGGTATGACACACACAGGCACTTCATCTGCTGTTGTCCCAGCATGTTTGTTTGTTTTTCTTTCTTTTTTTTTTACAGTTTTGTTAAATCTCTAAATCAAAACTTAATAAATATTTGAACTTGAGACACAGAAATATATTTAGGTTGATTAATTTGTTTTACAACTAAAAGTTATTTCTAATTTTTGGGTATGAAGGTTTTTAGATGAACTTGACTTCTAAGGAATAAAAATTAGTACCAGTATTATTGAGAAGCAATGTGTCGTAAAATTTAGGGAATGTTGTAGTAAAAGTAAATTATATGCTTTTGTTTTGATGATGAAACTTTGAAACAAGGTGGGTTGATATGACGTTTTAAAGTGATTATAAACAGATTCAATTTCTGTCAAAAATATGAAAACAAAAAGAAAAAATAAATTTTCTGGGAAAAGTTCATTCATATGCTCCAAAAGTTGAATATTTCAAATTAAACTCACCTTTTTCTGAACTTAGAAAACATTTTTGAATTCATTTATTTTTTTAAAGTTAAAAAAATTTCTTGGAAAATTTAAAAAAATGAAATTAAATTGGGGGTTAATGTCAAAATATTTTCATGCAAATTTTAAACTTTTCAGATTCAGAAATTTGCAGTTTTTTAAAATTATTTCTGAGACCAATCTCAAAATTTCTGGCTTACTTTCTTGCAAATTATCAACTTTTTGAGCTCAAACATTTCTGAGAATAAGACCAGAATGTTTGACCTTTTTAGCGAATTGCTTTTTCTCCCTTTAGTTTTGTACACTAGTCTAATCTGAGAAATTCTATTTAGTTTCTTACTAGTTTTTAGCTGTAATAATCTAAATTAATAGAAATTAATGTTTGAAGAGTATAAGTGTGATGAATCTAAATCATGTATTTTAATATTCTGATTGATGAAGCAACAAGAAAAGTTTTAGCTCTACAAATAAAAGGCTAACTCATGTAGAGATAATAAAATAGGAATAATTGGAATAACCTGACATATATATATATATATATATATATATATAATATATATAATATATATATATATATATATATATATATATATAATATATATATATATATATATAAAACTATATATATAGGGAATCCCTTTAATTTTTTTAGAAAAAAAATCCACTTGTTTTAATTGTATAATATAACTACAATAAAAACATATTTAATCCTGTAAAAAGCTAATATTTACATATTTTGGGGTTTTTATAGAAACCCTGGTATTGAAATGGTTAACGTCCTTACGTTACGCAGGTCACGTGACATACGTCACCACCGGGTCGTTCTTTTCCGCATCTCTAACTGGTGGTTCATTCTGTAACTTTAGCATTATTTTCCCCCGGTTTAACCCGCTTGTCGTCTCAGGTAGCAGCTTTTTGTTGGGTGTAAAAGTCGTAGAGGTTCCTTTTTTCTGCTGGTCTGCGGTTCTGGACCTGAAAAGGTTTTGTTTTTCATGCGGAAGCCACTGGAAGAGGCGGGCTAGCCTCTGGAAGCTAACAGCTGTTTGGGTTTCAGCAGCGGAGAGTCGCTGTCAGGGAGCCGAGCTGCCAAAAGGTGACAGGGAAGAAAACAGGCTTTAACCGGGGGACTGTTCTGTCATCTGCTGGTAAAATGGTTTTATTCTGATGAAATTATGCAATAAAGTAGCTCAGAAGTTAGCCTTAGCCAGTTTAGATCATTGAGCAGTGTGCTGCATACAATACAATTTGTAATATAGTGATCTTAAGTTTTATTGTTCCGTATAATCGTATAGTATCTTGACTTTACGAGCAATTAATAACCTCAGTTCAGTTTAAAATGTGCGAAACAAGATAAGAGCCACTAAAGAAGAAAACAAATCATATTGACTTTTTTTTGTTTTGGAGAATGAATCCAAATTATGAGAAAAAAATTGTAAAAATCCTGGAGGAGAAAAATATAAATTCTGGTGAAAGAAGTCTAAATAATGAATGAAAATATGCCAACATTTTGGGGGAAAAAATCTAAATTACAGAAAAAAATAAGTTAAAATTCAAAGAGGAAAAAAGTCTAAAATATGGGAAAACAATTGTCAAAATTCTAGGAAAAAAAAATCTAAATTTGGAGGGGAAAAAACTAATAATTGTGGGATAGAAAAATCAAAATCCTTGGGGAAAATGTCATAATTCCATGGAGGGAGTCCAAATTATGAGGGAAAATATGCCAGAATTCTGTGGATTAAAAATACAAATTATGGAAAAAAAGAAATAAAAAATATAAGAAAGAAAAATGAATCCTTAAAAAAAAGAGTTTAAAATTAGTCAAAATTCTTAGAAAGAAAAATTTACATTTGGAGGAAAAATGTCAAATTTTGGGTGGTAAAAGTCCAAATTATGAGAGAAAATATGCCACCATTCTGGGGAAGAAAAACCCAAATTATGGTGAAAAATAAGTCAAAATTCTGAGAGAGAGAAAAATCTATATTCTAATTTAAAAAAGTCTTAAATATGAGAAAAATTGTCTACATTCTATAAAATAAAAATCTAAATATTGAAGAAAAAAAGTCAACATTTTGAGAAAAGTCCAAATGATGAGAACAATATGTCAACATTATGAGAGAGAAACGAATAAATTCTGAGGGAAAAACATTCTGGGGGAAAGAGTCCAAATGTTGGTAGAAAACCTAATTTGTAGTTTCATGTGAAGTCTCCACAGTCAGTGACGATATTGGGAGCCATGTCCTACCTGACAGCTTTGCTCTGGGTTTAACTCGTCGCCAGGTTCTATGACCTTTGACCCCATTATCCAGACCGAGGATGTACCCGCCTCCCAGGAAAGACTTCATCGCGTTGACCCTGAGCGACCCCCACAGTCACACCTACAACAACGCCAAACACCGGAGACAGTCCTGCTGGAGGGTGAGGACGGTCGCCAGGGAAAATCCAAATTTATCTCCATATTTCTGCATATTTCATTTATTTCCTGTTGAAAATATGCAAAACATAAACAATCAAAACAAAAAAAGGGGCAAACTGAAAACAAATGAGGGCAAGTGTGAGCAGCAGAACCCAGTAAATCTCCCTGACGGGAAGTAAACCAATGTTTCATAATTTGTCCTAAATGGCGTTTGGGCGCCCACTGAGATATTTGTGGTTTTGTGCAGGAAAAGATTATTCATGTGAATTATTCCTGCTTCTCTGTAGTGAAGAGTTTCATCCTCCGAGTTTCATCCTCCTTCCCTTCTGGTGGTTTAAAAGCAGGAGCTTTCAGTTTCCTCCATGTTGAACTGGTCCAGCAGCTCCCTACCTGACTGGCCTGTTTGTTATCTGAGAATCTTTATTTGTGAGTTTCTTCAGGCTGTTTTTACACCTGATAGTCCAGCAGCTTTTGTTCTACTTGAGAACAAAGTTGCAAAATTTGTTACATTTTCAGCTGCTGCCATTCTCTTTCATACTGCACTGAGTCAAAGAAACTAATTAAAAAACCTGTTCCCCTCCTTGCCTGCGGGGGCGCTGCACCACAAGGCACTGAAGAAAACATGAAAAACTCTTCCTTCTTCACCAAATAGAATCAAAAATGGCTGTAAGATTTCTATTTTGAGAAATGAGTTATTTCTCCTGCTAGCCCAAGGTTAGCATGTTTGTTTTGGTTGTATTTACCCATAATGCCCTGCTCAGTAGTCATCTCCACTTCAGACTGAAAAGAAAGCCTGAAGATGCCAATGGGAGGTTTCTGGATTGCAGAACTTTAGTTTTTCAACATTATCATGATAGATGAGTGCAGATCTCTGTCTGCGGCTGAATGAGATGTGATAACGACGAGGGGTTGAGCAGCGCTGCGCCCCGCGCTGACTAACTGCATCTTCCCACCTAAAATAAAACCATTGATGTTGGTTTCATTCCAACCAGTCTCCAATTGTTTTTGCAAATCAGGTCTATCTTTATTTAGTTTATAAATTACAAACAGTCCTAAAACATAGTTGTTGTTTTTGATCTCTATGTGCAAACGCTTAGAAAACAGTTTCAGAAACTGAAAACAACTCAAAATAAACTTGTTTATGGTTTATTATGAGTCACATTTAAAAAAGACAGTGCCACATTTCACATTAGAAAGAACAAAGACAGTGAATATTTAAATTTTAGACTATTTATTAAGATGGTATTAATGTGGGGTCAGTTTTACGCTAGGTAGGTAAGTGATATTGAGCCTGAAAAAGTTTGGTAAATAAAACATTAGATGAAGAGAGGTTGTACTTTTTCTTAGCTTTCAGATGAAACCAAGGTGATGTTGGAGTTATTCTTGTAAGTCGAGTTTCATTTCATTTGTCCGTTTTTGTTTTGTTTTCTCAGAAATGGAAGCAGCTTTCTCGGCTGCAGCGGAGCCTCATCCTCTTCCTGCTGGCTCTGCTGCTCGTGTTCGTGCTGCTCTCCTTCTCCAGCGTCGCGGAGCAATGGAGAGGTGAGAGGTCAAGCCAGGCGCTCGTCTCCATCAGTTTAGTGCAGCATTTGGTGATTTTCAGCTAATTGGGTAAGTTCTGCAGGGCTGTCCAATAAGGAGGACTGGCTGGAGCTGGGTGACAGAGGTCTGGTTCTCCCGGGTCTGAATCCGGTTCTGAGGCCGGTTGAAGGCAGAGGTCCGGTAGCCGGGCCCCATGCGGAGCCAGCTGAAGACCCGATGGAGCCCAGAGAACCAAACATCCCTGTTTTGGCTCGGCCGCCCACCAAGGTGGGATTTTATTTCTAAAAGAGGAGCTGAGTGAATATTCATGATTTCAAATGGTCATGGCTGCAACTTCCAATTAAATTATAAATCAGTTATTATGAAGATTAATCAATTATCCTGACAATTAATTAATCACTCTGACTATTGAGCGATTATTCTCACTATTAAATGATAATTCTGATGATTATTTTGGTGATTAATTGATCATTCTGATTATTTTTTCAATTGCTTGTAAAAATAAAAATGTCACAAACCACTTAAGCCATTTTTATACCATAATAGAAAAACATTAAAAGGTGCAAATAAACAAATAATTCAAACCCTTTTTTGATAAGAAAATCAATGTCTTATTGTGATAAATCAGTTATTAAAAAATAATACTAATCTAATTTAGTAATCCATTTATTATACTCAAAAGACGGCCATTCACTGAAAGAGCAACACTCAGATAATTAATTTGGCCAAAACTGTCCAAAAAATATAATGATTTTGCATTAAAGATTTAAAAACAATATGTCATTGTTAGACAAACACAGAGCCAACAAAGACATTAAAAATACCAGCTGTATGTTTTGGAAAACCAAAATTAAATGAGCTTATCACATAAACGATGCTTTTTATTTACAGTGATGGCAGCAGCTCCATGAAACGGTTAATATGACTCAGGATGCAGGATTTAAATAGCTGCTGTTTCTGTGGAAAAGTGTCGGATAGAAAAGACTGATGAGTCATGATGGGATTGTTCAAACCTGCATGAAGAGGCCCGACATCAACATAGTCTGAGAATAAAACAGGCTGCAGAAATATTCCTGACACAAAAAGCTCTAAAGAAATGAGGGATATTATTGAATTTATACAAGAAAGTGTTTTATATTTCTTTTTAAAATCTGTTTCTGTGTTTTCACCAACAGAGGAAGCCATTTTTCAACAACAGAGCTCCACCAAACTCCCGAAAAGATGAAAATGCTTTGGACACGGTGAGCGACGCAAAGCAGAACCAGGAAGTGGTTCGGGAAGAAGCTGGCGAGGAAAAGGAGGAGGAGAAGAAAATTATCAGGTAATGTGATTTTTTTTTTTTTAGGAAAAGAAATGTCTAGAAGGCGTGTTTAGATGTTGGTGTTGTCGCCATGCAGCTGGAGAGGAGCGGTGATCGAAGCCGAGCCGGCCACAGAACCTCCATCCAATCAGAAAGAAGCCGTGGAGCCTCGAGCGCCGGCCGGACCTGCAGCCTCCGTCCATCAGCAAGGTCCAACTACATCTGCTTCTTTTCACCTCTGATTGTAATAAACAGGAAGTGATGAGTTCAGAAGTTTCCAGTTTGTTGCTTGAAGAAGAAGAGAGCAGATGGTTTTTAAATCCGTCTGAATGTCCAAAAACGAGCCGAGTTAATATTTATGTTTTTAATCTTTATAACTGAATCTATTATTGTTAGATTTATTTAGGGCTGCAACTACCAATTATTTTAGAAATAAATTATACTGAAGATTAATCGATTAGTCTAATAATTGGTTGATTATTATGACAATTATCCAGTCATGGTGACCACTAAACAATTATCCTGAAGAGTAATTAGTTTGATGATCAGTCCATAATTCTAATTGTTTGATCAATTATTTTGACCTCTGAGCAGGTAGACTGGTGATTAATTGATTTGTCTGATCGACTATCTCATGATCAACTGATGATTAATTGATAATTTTGACAATTAGTTGATTAGTCTGATGATTAATTTATTCTCACAATTAATTGATCATTGTAACCACTAAACAATTAATTAGTTTGATTATTAATCGATTATGATAAACAATAACTGATTATCCTGATGAGTAATTGATTAATGATTAATTGATTAGTCTGATGATTGATCAGGAAATCCTGACGATTTTCTGATTAATTGTCAGGAAATCAGTTTTCCTGACTATTAATCAATAACTCTGACAATTGATCATTTTGACCATTAATTTGCTAATCAAGTTGCATTTTGATGATTAATCGTTTCTTGTGGTGATCAATTGATTATTTTTACAATTGGACAGTTTTTAAAACCGTCTACATGTTTCTGCCCTTACAGCTGCATTCTGGGGGTTTTGTTTATATATTTTGTAATGTTGGTTTTCAAATATTTTGAAGATTTTCTTTGACTCGGCGAGGAACTGTAGACCTAAATGAATCGTCCCTGTTTTTAAATCCAGTTACCTCTGGAGCGGCGGAGCGTCTGGAGGCCGTCCGTGATGCCTTCAGGCACGCTTGGAAAGCCTACCGGGAACACGCCTGGGGTCACGATGAGCTCAAACCCATTTCCAAGTCATTCAGCGAATGGTTCGGTTTGGGCCTGACGCTCATCGACTCTCTGGACACCATGTGGATTATGGGCCTGAAAGAAGGTATTTATTTCACTTTTTGTTCCACACAGAAGGTTTTAAACTTATTGGTCAACATTTACATCCTTAATATTTACACTTTTGAGAATATAATTAATCTCTGTGGTCAGAGATTAATTATAATCCCGTCCCCATCTGCCTGCTGGAGGCTAAAAGCTGCTAGCCGGTAATGACTAGCATTAGCTGTTAAATTGCCAACATAATCTTAAATATACCCCTGATGTATGAAAGAAAAATGGATCCACTGCTTTGCTACACTACAAAAACTCAGTAATAAGGTCAGGAAAAAGTTTTGATTAAGAAAAACATATCGAGGGCGAAGGAAGCAGGTCAGACATGGAGAGTGAAAAAGAAGAACATGAGTGGTTTAGTTCTTCAACAGTTTCCCTGCATTGTTTTTAGCTTTGCTGTTTCCCACTGCACTAAACTAGTAATAGCTACATGTACAGGTTTAATTTTTTTAAAGAGTTGTTCTACCGCGGCCTTGGATGGCATCACCTTTTGTCCCTCCTGCGTTGTGCGCCTGTGTGAAATGTCCGGATGTAAACAATAACATGCAACGGCTCTGTTGATGCAGAATTTGCTGAAGCCAGAAACTGGGTGGAGAAAGAGCTTTCATTTGACAAGAACGTGGACGTGAATCTTTTTGAGACCACTATTCGGATTCTGGGCGGACTGCTGAGCTGCTACCACCTGACGGGAGACCAGCTCTTCTTTGATAAAGCTGTAAGGAAATTTTTATTTCAACATCAAGAAAAACATCTTCAGTTTTTAATTAGATTATCTTCCGTCCCTTAAAGAAAGATCTGGGCTCCCGACTGATGCCAGCCTTCAAGACGCCATCAAAGATCCCGTTTTCAGACGTCAACATCGGGAAGGGGACGGCGCACCCGCCGCGGTGGACGTCAGACAGTACGGTGGCCGAGGTCACCAGCATTCAGCTGGAGTTCAGGGAGCTGAGCCACCTCACCCAGGACCCCCAGTACCAGGTCTGGACCACAAACTGGGACCACATGGACCTTCTGTTGCAGCTTCCGCCAACAAAATCAATCCAAACACATTAGGGTGATGACTACCGATTGTTTTAGTTATCGATTAATTGATTGTTCTGATGATTAATAGATTAATCTGGTTTTAAAATTGACATATTTGGCATATTTTTCATTTAATCCCTTGTAAACAGTATTAGAGATATATTAAAAGACGCAAATAAACAATTCAGTTCCTTTTCAAAATAACATGGAATAAAATGCAGTAACAGAATTCCTTCAGTGAACTCTCGATCTTTTCTAGCAAAAGATGCATCTGCAGCTAGAAAAATACTTCTGCGCTCAGATTTAAGTGTCTTAAAAATTAATTTTCAAGTTGATGTTAGAAGTATTTTTACCAGATGATCCATCCTTTGCTATAAATGATAAAGGGTTCAGTAAAGGAACGCTCTTAATGCGTTTTAGGCAATAAAATGTTAATTTTCTAAAAATAAATTTGTTTGCATCTTTTTCTAATATTGCATAAAAACAGCTTAAATGAAAAATTTGCAGAATGTGCTAATTAGTCTGATGAATCACTAGAATAATCGATTAATTGTTGAGTTCTGCTAATATATTTAAATATTTGTCATTTTAAATTAGCATAGTTAAAAATGCTAACTCTAAATGCTTTTTTTTTTCAAGTAAAAATGGTGTTTGTTTCTCATGTTGCTTGAATAAGTAGCACTGTTTACAAATTTCTGCTCCATGTGATCAATCATCTCTCCATATATGGTCAAGCAGATTCTGCTTTTTTAAAGTCACAGAAACATCAGAAAAGTTGTGATTTATCAGCTGGTATTATAAATATTCACACAAAAATGTGATGAAATCAGGTTCTTAAAGTTACAGCAGCATTCAGGAATATCTGATGTCTTCCTTCTGATTAGCTCAGATGTTAATGATGCTAACTATTTTAGCTCCAGTCATTAATCTCGTTTGGTTCCTTCCTGTTTTCCTGCCAGGACGCCGTGAATGAGGTGATGCGGCTGGTCCACAAGCTGCCAGGAAAACACGATGGCTTGGTTCCCATGTTCATCAACACCAACAGCGGCCAGTTCTCCCATAAAGGCGTGTTCACGCTGGGCGCGCGGGCCGACAGCTACTACGAATACCTGCTGAAGCAGTGGATCCAGGGCGGGAAGACCGAAGACGAGTAACGCCTCGTTTTTTATCTCCTAAACCAAAATGTACCGACTTGAACATCACTGAATCCATTATTATTATTATTATTATTATTATTATTATTATTATTAAATTTGCAGTTGCTATTAAATCTATATTTAAAAGCACAACATTAAACCCCAGCCTCCTACCAGTAGATCAAATCCACAAATATCTGCGAGTATTCAGAGTTCCTCATGAAACATGTTGGGTTCCAACGTAAAGGTCACAAACGGCGTTTAACCCTCCTGAATCTGACTGCAGGCTGCTGGAGGATTACCTGCAGGCGGTGGAAGGAGTGAAGAAGCACCTGTTGAGGCAGACCGGACCCGGCAGGCTTACCTTCATCGGGGAACTCTCCCACAACCGCTTCAACCCCAAAATGGTACCAATGGAGGGTCATGGGAGGGTCACATTTCCGCTAACGTTGTAACCGACAGCCATCTTGGTAGGCAGTTGCTATGACAGCAATAAACAAACGACACGGTTAGCGCTAGCTCTCCCTTTATTCCTAGTTAGCTATCAAACAACGTTAATACATTAGAACTATTTTAGTACTCTACCTACTTCAGTGTAATACTAAGGTAATATCAGAGATATTTCTGTAGCACTTACTGCTGAACTAGCTTAACTAATGTAGCTTTTATCTGCTAGCTAAGTCAGACTTATGTGTTTATTACTACATGTCCTTATTCTTCCTGTCACCAAACCTTGTTATTCAGTTCATACGTTCTTTACAAATCTGTTTAACTATTGGATGGATTTCCTCCATCTTCCTGATCATGAGGTGATCAACTTCATCGATCGCCAGCAGCTTGTCCACATCGTCTGATATATTTTCTTGTCCGTCTCATACGGGTCGATCCTGACGGCGGCCATTTTGTTCATGTATCAAGAGGCCCCACACATTTTCTTTTTGTTGGTCTGGAAGCCATTGGTATTTGTTTGTTGTGTTACCACTCCGTCACCAGTAGGGGCAGTAGCAAACCCGAAAAGACCCAAATAAGGAGCAGATTTAGAGGGACACAGAAACGTACAGAGTTTGTTTAGAACTGTGAGCTGAGCTGAAATAAATAAAACAGAGAAGTTCAAATACATGCTGAGAGTGAAGCTGATTCATTAAGGTGAAAATATATCACAGATTTCAAAAGAAAATAAAAACAGAAGGAGAATAATATAGGAAATGGCGCCCCCTTCATTTCTGGAGTGCAATGGTTCCATTTTCTAATATGGTATTGGTCTGCCGTGGGGTCAAAAGTTCAGATTAAGGCAAAAAAAATAATCAGATTTAACAGATTTATTTCCTGCAGTGAGCGTCTCTCTTTGTCGCCGCCCTGCAGGACCACCTGGTCTGCTTCCTGCCGGGGACTCTGGCTCTGGGGGCGCACAACGGCCTGCCGCCGGACCACATGGACCTGGCCCAGCAGCTGATGGAGACCTGCCACCAGATGTACAAGCAGATGGAGACGGGCCTCAGCCCAGAGATCGCTCACTTCAACATGCAGGGCAGCGAAGGCCAGGATGTTTCTGTGAAGGTCAGGCCGAGTTTATTTTCATATCCATGAATCACCATTATCATGTTTTCATTTACAATAATGGATTTTTAAAGAGATCTGAAAGACACTGCAAAAATACTAAATCTTACCAAGAATCTTTGGTCTATATTTTTATAAGTTTTAATGTTCCTCATATTAAATATACAATATATAAAAATGTTTCATTCTATGGCAATTTATTTTACTTATAACTATTTTAAATGGCTTATTGACATAAAACAAGCTGCTATTTCTTGCTGAAAAGTAACTTGTAAGTTAGTTTTGCCTTATTTTACGTGTACTTAGACATCTGCAGTAGAAACTGGACCGTAACTTGTTGGTCAGGTTTTGTGTTTTTGTAGGGTAATTGGTGCGAATCCGCCTGAGATGCTCCAGCAGGTCTGATGAATCAGATTTTTAATCAGCCGCTCTGCGTTTGTTTGAGCGCGGCCATCCCGCTCTCCTCAGGCCTCATTTGGTTTCTCATTTGCAGCTCAGAGTTTCTCGCGGCGCTGAATATTTCTCCATTTACTCCAGAGATAATTAAACGCTGTCTGAGTTCATTCAGACCCAAAGAAACGACGGAGTGATCACAGATTTAGAGATATAGCAGCTTTAAACACCAGGATGATGATGAACAACTGGACTCTTCATCAACAGAAGCTTTCTATCCAGAAACAGTCTGAAAGATGTCAGATTATTGACTCCAGAGGATGCAAAGAGACATCCAACCATTTGTTCAACCAACTGACAATTCAACCAACCAACCATCCATCCATCCATCCGCTTGTTCATCCAACTATTGATCCAAACAACCATTAATCTACCAACCAATCATCCAACCGTCCATGTACCCAGACTGTTGCTTGTGTGTTGTCCAGCCAACCAACAAAACATCCATCCATCATTTATCCATCATCTGTTTATCCAACTATCCCTCCATCTGTCAGTCGTTCTTTCTCTTTCAGATTTTTGCAGGTTTTGCTGAAAGTTTTGACTGTTCAAAGTAAAATGTTTGTGAATCAAATCATAAACACTAATAAAAGATGCATTCAGTTTATCTGGCTGATGAAACTGAAGCCTCTGGCCGCTCCTCTTCTCCTTCTGTGCTTTTGTTTGATTTTTTTAAACGTTGAGATCGGAGAGCGACGCGGTCCGTCAGGCAAACCAAGCAGAGACGAAACGTTGATGCATGGAGAGACCGTTTAAAAATGCTTTATACATCGATCAGTTGCTGCTCTGCCACTTTGTTCCATCTCTACTCCTTCATCTGGACCCACCCACTCAGTCTGGGGCGAACGCTGACTCATGTCACCCAAAAGTTTTCAAGAGCTGCTGAAATTCCCTCTAAATTGCTAAGCTAAAGATAAGGATAAGCACTGGATAATAAGAATGACCTGCTGCTGGTTTTCATCCAGTCCTTTTGAATCCACAAGCAGCTTTAATGAAGTTGTGTCCAGTTTCTCTGCTTCCTGTCAGCTTTTTCACGGTCAGACTAAAAACAGTGATTGCTGTCCTGCAGCCTGCCGACAGACACAACCTGCTGCGCCCGGAGACGGTGGAGAGCCTGTTCTACATGTACCGCTTCACCAAGGATGCCAAGTACAGAGACTGGGGCTGGGACATCCTGCAGAGCTTCAACGCCTACACCAAGGTACTGACCAGCTCCGCCGATGCATTCCTGTCATTTCAGATTCACTGAACATTATGCTGAACCAGGGCGTCCAAACTTTTTGTCACTTCGACCAAAATCATCAAGTCTAACAAACTTGAAGGCTGAAAAGTATATTTCTAATAAAAACTTCTACTGTTATGTAGTACTTTATATTAGTAATAGTCTTTTTTCTTTTTGTCAAAAAGACATTTGTAAGCTATTGTAGAGCCTGAACTAAAAGAGGAACTATTATGCAAAATTCACATTAAATAAAGAAAGCACTTAGCTGGTTTTAGCCATTGAGTCAAAGTTTTTGATGTCTGGAAAACGAGACGTTTCTAAAACGTCACAAATAATCAGGAAGTGCCCCGTTACCTAGCAACAACAGCAGAAATAACCCTGTTACCTACTGGAGTTTGTTTTACCGCTGTGTGTGCTGTATAATGGCTGCTGGAAAAGAGAAGTGTTTTATCGTTTACTTCCCATCCGGAAACCACTTACTACATTTTTGTTTGTTGTTCAGGAGGCTCTACTAATGCTTTTCAAAGATGTACGGTTATGTGATTGCTCATCTGTTTGCAGCCATTTTTATGTGCGAATGTAAACATCGAGTTGGGGGCGTGGCCAGCAGCAGCTTATTCTGATTTAAAGTGAAAAGACGCCCTAAAACAGCTAAACTCTAATGGTCTAAGAATGATTTTGTGCTCTAAATGTAATGAAAACAGTGAACCTGTTGAAGGAAGCCTGATGGTTCACCTTTAAAGGAATTAATTTGAACTGATTCTGTAGGATTTTTGACCAAAGCGGCTGTTTCTTGACCTCTGACATTTCCTCAACTGGTAAAAATTTGATTATGTTTCATGTTTGACTTCTGGGGGAAAACTCAACATGGATCAAAATGGATTTTTCAGCTTCCCAATGGAAGCATTAATCACCTGACCACACGTCTTCTCCAATCGCAGGTCCCCGGCGGCGGCTACACGTCCATCAACAACGTCCGTGACCCCGCTAACCCCGGCCCCCGGGACAAGATGGAGAGCTTCTTCCTGGGCGAGACGCTGAAGTACCTCTACCTGTTGTTCTCCGACGACGAGGAGCTGCTCCGTCTAGACAAGTACGTCTTCAACACCGAGGCTCACCCTCTGCCCATTTGGCCGTCTCCGCCCAAATGAAACTCGGAGAACCACAAGGTCCGGGTTTCGGCCTCCTTTATTTTTCCTAAGGAAAAGGTTTCATATCTGAGCTGAACTCGGATCAGAACACTTTGTTACGACTCGATTATCGGTTAATGACTGTATATTTTCTAATTGTGGGTTATTATATGAGGCGGAAATCACTCATTAGTGCTATTTAATGTCTGACTCGTACATTTAGTGCTGATTTATCACATCTGTGGGTAAATTATGGAGATGTTTAATCAATGAATGACTCAAGCTGACGTTCTTAATGATCCAGGTTCTTCAATGAATGTAGTTTATTTTCTTTCCGGGTTAATTTATGTTTATTTATTCGGGTTTCATGGATGTTCCTGTTTTTATGTTACTTGAAAATTCACTTTATATGACATGAAGGTTTTATTAAACTGTCTGGACCTGAGATGGACTGGCAATCAACTCTGACCTGGAAGAAACTTGTATAGAAAATATTGTTGAAGGTTCAATAGAGGAAAAAATAATTTTTCCTCCAACAAAGTGTTACGACTATCGTATGTTGAGATTTTTCACAGAAATTTTCGCAAAAACCAACAAATCCCTGCATTTTTGTGATTGTGATTTTATTGCAAATTTTACAGAGAAATTGTCAGTCATTGTATTAAAATTGTACAAACTCCCACCTGTAGGTGGCAGTATTTCTTTATTGTACTACTCTACTACCTCAGCTTTAATTGATGTCAAATTAACAAAAACATAAACAGTCACATTTACCGTCATAAATAAATGCAAAAGACGCAACAACACGTCATCCGTCTGAGTTACAGGAAATTAGCGCAAAAATATCGCAAAGCACCACGTAATCAATGATTTTGATGGCAAAAAAATTGCAAAATCAATCGCAAAATCTTGGAGTTACAAATAAATATAGTAAATTGTCCACAATACAATAAATTTTAACCAAACTTCTCAGAAATGTTCAGATTTATTTTACATATTTACAAGAAAAAACTTTGATTCTTTCCAAAAGGCACAAAGCATCGGCTAATTTTAGCTTTTATTTTGATTTCTGAATTTTTTTTACTTGCTCTTTTTTTTTCTCTTATAAACATAAAATTAATCTAAAAATTTCCAAGGGTTTTTGGCAGAAAATCATTGTCTGTGTATAATTACTGTAATACTTTTTCACTTTTTTCTGAAAAAGAAAAAAAAGGTTTGGAGGATCAAAAGACACATTTAGATGTTTTTTTTTTAAGTGAAGTAAACTAATGAGTAAATAATGAAGAATCCAGATATAATGTAATAAGTTTACATCAGTTCAACAACACTTGACTTCTTAAGGCTGGATTTGATGAAGGTTAATCTGTACTGGCAGTTTGTAGATTAGGGTGATGGTAAAGAGGCCTTCCAACCTCAGAGATGAACCATTAAGATCCGAGTTTCAACTTGCAAAAAGCTGCTAAGCCATTAGAAGGATGACTTGATCACTGCAAAGCCAATAAATATACTTTCAGTTATTATTGAGAAGGTTGTAAATAATTTTCAATGTGACAGTTTTTAATAAAATGTGAATAACAACTGCAAAGGGATAAATTCTGCACATTTTTTTCCATGTTTTGTTACTTATTTAGCGATGCCCGACTCACTTCCTGGTAGAAATGTTAGTACTTGGCTAAAATAATCCAAATATTAGAATTTTGTTGAGCTTTTGGATATTTGGCCACTTCCTTGTGAGGTTTCACTTGAATAAATCCATTTCCTGGTTCTGATCCAGCTTTTTAGAAAAGTCTGCAACTTTTCATTGAGCTTCCACTTCTGTTAAAAAAAAACCAAGCCAAGTTTCAAAACGCTCATTGCGAAAGAAGCTTGATGTTCCCAAACATTCGTAGAAAATTTAGTGGAGGGAAAAACCACCAATGGGAATAACCGGAGCCTTGAAAGTAAAAAAATCTCCAGGAAGACTGAACATATTAAGATTATCTGATTAACTGAATTTTTGGGTTTTCATTCGCTGTAACTGATCATCAAAATTACTATAATAAATGTCTAAAATGTCCCTGTTTGTAACTAAACGATGTGAAGTTCAAGTTTTTGAATTGAACTGGGGAAATAAAAATAATCTTTTTGGATTAAAGTGATTTATTAAAATGCTTCTGGCTTATTAAATTGTTTTGGAATTATTTATTTAAATTCTATTTCACAGATCAATTGTGGTCATTTAAATAATCTTCAACTAATTGATTAATTCAGATTCACAAAACAGATTCAGAGAAGTAATCAAGTTCAACAATTGAAGATATAAAAAACTTTGTCTCTAAATATGTTTAGAGACAAATATGTGAAGATTTAGCTTCACTTGCTGTTGTTGCATTTTAGGCAATTAAATGTTTATTGTATTTAAAAAATGAATCGTATTTGCATTTTTATTGTATTTTGAATATTGTATAAAAATACATGATTAAATGAAAACTACAAATTTTTTTTCTGATTAAATGTCAGAATAATTTATCACTAAATAACTAAACTGAGTATTTATTACTAATAAAATTTCAGAATGTTGTTAATTCAAACAGCATTTTTATTTAGTGAAACTGACCACTAAATGTGTCAAATTGAACTTGAATAGACGGAGAAATGTCCTAATTTGTCTAAATTTTTCCCGCGCTGGTTTCTCCAATAGAAATCTAAAATCTCAGCAGTTTTACTTTGTTTTAACGCCTCTTTACGTGATGAAAAGGACAAACCTAACCTCTGATGAGGCTTTTAATTTCACCTGAGCGAGATGCTGCGGCTCTTCTCAGCCTTAAATGGAGACCCTGAGACGCTGCAGCGCGTTTTTGTGCCGCTAACATCCAGCCCTGTGGCTCACTGATGGGTTTTTAATGGCTTTTGGGCAACAGTTGAGCTCATTTGGCACAGATAGGCGCTGCCTCTCCAGCTCACAGAGCATCTGACACGTCAGAGACGGTTCATTATGTGCTTTGTGTCGATGTCTGAGTAAAAGAATAACACAGATGTTTGGTTTTTAATGTAGAGTTGAAAGGAAGCTGCAGGATTAATATTTTTAGGTTAATTACGGGGCTTTTGGTGGCAAATATCCAAATTCACATCAACAATAAAGCACTAATCTGTTGGAGAACTAAGATTAACTATTAATGTGGTGACTATTCTGATGATTAATTGATTAATCGGATAAAAAAATAACACTGTAGATTTTATTTAACCATCTAAATTTCTTTTATGCAATATTGGAAATATGTTAAAATATACAAATTAGAAAATATTAACATTTATTAATAAAATAAACATTTTATTCCCTGCAGTAAATCAAAACTGCCACTTAAAGAGTTTTGGCTAAAACATATTTCCAGACAAATGTTTTTTTTATTCTAATTGAAAATTTTTATTTTTTTTTACTTAATTGTTCAGATTGTCATAAAAAAATCTAAAAATGTATTAAAACTCTCAGTAAACGAGCTGAATGCTGGATTTTGTTTCCCAAAAGTAACAGATTTGATGTACAGAATCTGTTCAACTGTTTTATTGGTAATTGATTACAGATGTGTTTGTTTCATCCTGTGACCTTAACATGAAAACAGAAAAAGTTGTTGGTGCTTCAGACGAGTCGAAGGAGGAAATGCAACATCTGTTGAACGCACAGAAACGTATCTGAAGAGTCGACATGCAAAGTGCTGCTGTCGCTTTGGATTATTATTGATGAAAAGCTCCGTTGACTCCCACAGATTCTGTTTCTGCAAATTCGCTCTTTTGTTTTCAACATATTGGTCCTGCAATTACGCTGAGCATTTCACGGCGTTCAGAGGTCAGATAAAACATTTCGGTGACGGTTTTGTTTTCATTCAGGATTTTTGTTCGCCTGACAACACAAACCATGTCAGTACAGTCACGTCTTTCTGGTGCATCGATTGCTGAAGGATCTGGAAAAATGAATATTGAAGAAGAGAAAACCAGGGAAAGTAACAAAAATCAGGCGGGAAAAATGTCGCCAAAGCTTCTTGGTTAAAGAAAGACGATCCTGAATAGCACATAAAAATGACAATATATTAACCAGGGTTTTATCGATCAAATTACGTTTATTTTCTAATGATTAACTGATAATAAAAGAGCGTTATTAAGAGAACTGAATCACAAGAATCGCACTTTTCACCTCAAAATGGACAGTTTCTCCTCCCCTTTCTGGCCCGGCGGCCATTTTTTTTCCATACCAACGGCTCAGCCTATTCCAAATGACCTGCAGCGCCCTCTGCTGGATGGCGGCCAAATTACAACACTGGAAGACGATCCAAACAGACATTACTAGTTAATCTACTGGGGATCATTTTAATTTAATAAATTATTAATTGTAATTCTTTGTTTGCATCCTTAATCTCGACCAATCATGTTTTTTTTAAACTAGAAGCTGGTTAAATGCTTGTTAATCCCAGATTATCAGGGATTAACTGGGATTTAGAGATTATTTCCAGACAATTTCTTCTGTTTTTTCTTGTTTCAGATCTTCACAATAATTTGATTAGAAGGGAACTTTGAAATAATTTCATTTATTACTGTCTGACTGAGGAAACCAATAAATTACAATAATTTATCTGACAATAAGAAGTAGGTTTTACCCTTTGTAAAGGGTTTAAAAATAAATAATGATAATAAAATAATGAACAATCCTCACAAGTTTACAGCTGTTGCTTATAGGAGTGTAAAATGACACTTTTCTAACTTCCCGTTGAAGCTAGCTGTGCTGTCCATGACGACAACTCAATAAAGTTTTTGGTTTTCTTCTTCTTAACAGCAGAGCTTTAACTAGCCAGTAGGTTGGAAATTAAATAGTGATAACAATGCTGTCATTCTCTTCTTCATTGGATTTTTTTAACTGTAATATTTTTATTGTTCTACTTTTTAAGCAAAAATTATGACAGTCGGGCTTAAAGAAAAATAAAAATATACTGAAAAAAGTACAGAACAAAAGATGGAAAGTAATTTAAAAACATTATGATGATTTACTCTAAAATAGAGAAAATATACTGGAGTTAGAAATTAAACTAATTTCTATCATATTTAACTCAATAATAAAACCATTAATATTAAAATATTTGTTCTTCTTTCATCAGTTTTAAACATCCTTTGACCAAAAATATGAAATAAACTTTCAGCCATGCAATGTTGACCTAGAAACAGGAACTGATAAAAATACAAAACGTTCTTTTAAGTTAGTGAGAGAAAATCTGAGTGCTGCCCCCTGCTGGTGCAGTACTCAGGTCACCAGGTGCATCTTCTAATGATCATAATGAGAATCCAGACGCTTTCCTGCCAAAACACAGAGCACAGCTTCTTCTTTTACATTCAGACAGTAAAAACTAATCTCTCTGAACGCATGACTCCATGTTGACAGATAAACAAACCCAGATCTTTATTTATCTGTCATCTTCTGCGTTGGTTTTGCTGTGATCTCGTGGCCGTCTCCTCCCTCCGTCTTTCCGTTCTCTCCTCCATGTCAGCGCAGCGATGATCCACGACCGATGCGGATCCTCCGCTCAGGAGAGCCAGACTCATCCGAGACGCCACAGCCCTTGGCACCCCGGTTGAGGCGAGAGCCGCCATCCATCAGCGGCGTGTCAGCCCACGTCTCCCAGATGAGGCATAAAATAACGCGAAAGCAGCTGCAGTCTG